TAAAAAGTGTTGGACGAAATAGTGCAGGCCGTGAATTTTATTAAATCTAGGCCCTTAAATTCCCGTATTTTCGGTATGGTTTGTGAAGAAATGGGAATCATTCACAAGCAGTTATTATTGCATGCTGAGGTGCGTTTGTTGTGTCACGTGTGTTTGAGCTGAGAATGTTTTTTTTTGAAAAATTCTGTAGTTAGCGCAAATAAACATGTTGATAATTTTAATAACTTTGAATGGCTTACAATGGTGGCATATTTATCTGATATCTTCAGTGCCCTTAACGAACTGAATTTAAATCTACAAGGAAGAGATAACAACATTATTTCAATCATTTTCCCACACTGATAAAGTTTTTGGAATCCTCTGGTAGGGTAATGTTGCCAAAGCAAGTAGAAGAAATAATTATACACCTCCTCGGTTTGAGGTCTTCTTTTCGAGATTATTTTCCAGAACCCAACAGAAATAAAAATTGGATAGCAGACCTTTTCAATGCAAATTTTTCCGATTTCATCGGCTTGACAACGATACAGGAAAATCAATTAATAGAAATTTTATGTGATTCAGCTTTAAAACGTAATTTCAAAGAATCTTCCTTATTAAGTTTTTGGGTGAATTATGTCAAAAACAAGCACAGAAACAGACTACAATTAGAATCAGATTTAAGATTACAACTAAGTAAAAATATCAACCCAAATATACCAAATTTAGTAGCAAGAAAACAGCACCAACCTTTACATTAATACAATATTGTTTTATTTTCATAAAAATGATAATTTTTTACTACTTCAATAAATTGTCCTAATTTGTTTTTTTATTAAGAGTTGAAATTGTGCTTGATTTTCTAGAGGTTCGGGAACTGAAAAAGATTAAAAAACGCTGCTTTAAAGTATAAGCCAAATGTAAAAAAATGAATATCTTGACAATACAACTCTTGAGCTTATTCTTTTTTAAGTTTTCCACTTTCTGCTTGGGTTTTGTAATTAAAGGTATTGATCTTCCTTGTATATTAAGTTACAGAAAAAAGTCTTATTTTACTTTTCATAAAAGTATTTCACTTTTTTAATTATTGCATGACGTATTTCCATACCATCTTATTTTTCAAGTTTACATTTATATAAACTTTGTCATGCAAAGATCGCTTAGTTCTAACGGATCCAGTTTCTTTCTAGTTACCACAATATTTGATTTTTCTCAATTTCATAGCTCAACAACATGCCGTCAATGTATTCTTTAACCCAACATACACGTAGACAATACAAGAAAGTCGTAAGATCAGTCAAAGATCTAAGAGAACCATTGGGCACTCAAAAGATTTTACCATATTCCCTGTAGTTGTAGTTCAGTATACACTGAGACAAAAAAAAATGTAAATAATAATTTAACTAACAAAACAGGAAAGTATCAGCTAAAGCAAAACATACTACCACATAAGAGCCAACGATTATTTGAAGAAATTTAGGTGCTCACGAGGCATCACACTACTATGCACTACTGTTATCTAAGGGTTATCGAAATTACACCCGATTAACTCCTGCAAGAGCGTTTTCATCTAAACAAATTTGGACATCTGTTACGCACCAAAAATTACAAGATCGATTCAGACCAACAGACAGTGCCAGAGGGGGACACGAAGGTTATGAATAATGCAAAGCTTTTAAAAACTACAATCACTGTGCGGAAGAGTACGACCGTCGTTGCATATTTTACTCATATCCTTCAATTCACAATGCGTATGAATATCGTTTGATTCAAACCTTCTTCTTAGGGTGCCTGTCTATTCCGAACGTTGGCAATCATTCTGGCGATCATGATGACTTTGTCGGTTGCTATACGAAATAGCTATGTTGAGGTCCTTCTATACCATGCTCTCAGGTTAGCAAGCCAGGATATTCTTCGTCCTGGGGCCATTTTTCCTTCAATTTTACCTTGTAAAATGCACTGAAGTAGCTCATATCTGCCTTGATTTTCATTATATGGCCCAAGTACCTTCACGATGTTGACCAAATCCGTAGTTGTGTTCATCCTCCGCAGTACTTCTTCATTGGTGACTTTGTCTGTCCATGATATCTTTAAACTCCTTCTGTATGACCATCGCTCAAAAGCCTGAAGTTTTGATAGAGTTTCCGCCTTCAATATCCACGTTTCTACTCCGTACATAAGCACTGAGTAGACGTAACATTTAAGGAGCCTTATTTTTATTTCTAGGGTGAGGTCATGGCTATTGAACACAGAACTCATAGTCAAGAATTCACTCTTTGCCTTTCCGATGAGACATTTAATCTCTTGGGTATTGTCCCACGACTCATTGACTATAGTTCCCAAGTAGTTTTATTGAGACTCGTTCAATGCTTATTTGGTTCACATACAGATTTGCTCCAGTTATTTTTTCCTTGCTGATGATCATTAGCTTGGTTTTGCTGGTGTTTATATTCCACTCCTTATTTTCTACTTCTTTCCGTTATTTTGTTCATTTGATTCAAACCAAAAATCTACTACTCTACACATTTTAATGCCTACTCACCAACTGAGCCACCAAGTCATCGTCTTCCTGAATCTAATATATTAAAATTTGTACAAATTGTATATCTTTATTCAATATGTCGGTGAAATACATATAGAGTCGAATTTCCTGAAAAATTAAGTTCCGTAATAATAATATGTGGAGTATCCTTTGTCAAAACCAATAACTAACTAACAATAAATAATTGACTACACATGTTTAATATCAGTAAAAACTGTCATCATGCTTCGTTTCTGAACTTACATATTAAAAGACAAATAATTAAAATCGCAATTTTATTTAATTTACAATCATCGGACGAATCCCAGAGGGTGTTTAAAAATAGATATAAAATCTCTACCCTGAAAACTTAATATGAGATGTTAACGATAGTGAACTTCCTTCTTTTACAACGGAAATGATATACCACAACCAAAAACCCCAATGAAAAATTACGTTCTCTTAACTACAGAGTGAACCAAAAAGAAAATTAAAAATGTATATATTTTTGTGTGCTGTAAAAACTGGTTCTTATGATGATTCTTTTATAGTCATCCTTTACGAATCTTGCTGTATTGACTAAAGCGAAACTCCTATATACAACTTAAAATATACCTTTCATAAAGGTAGTAGGTAACCAAATAATTTACATTTAGATAAGTTCGCATGATGTATTAATTTTTAATGTCTCTAAATATCATAATTCAATTACATGGTTATAATTATACTTAGCTTTATAGCTAAGGATAGCTACTTACGACCAAAATGGTGGCTCTTGTGTCAACTGTCAACTAAATCAAAAACGCCGAAAAAGGTAAGTTATTTTTCAAAGAAATCACAATAGTTTATCACAATGTATAATTTTCATAAAGCTAGTAACCAAATAAGTTACATTTACATGAGTTGGCATGAGTTTTAATTTTTAATGTCTCTGACATAGTTCAATTACATGGCTATCAATATACTTAGCTTTACGGATAGCTACTTAAGACCAAAATGGCGGCTCTTATGTCAACTATCAAAAGATATGTCAAACACGCCAAAAAGAGGCAAGATTAGTAAAAATATGACAAAACTGTGTGAAATGATAGTTATTTCACTACTTACTCCAAAGATTCAATAGGTAAATCAAAATGAGCGCTTTCACGCTTTTGTGAAAACATTTAAAATCAGGTTGTTTGTATTTAAGCGGTTCAGATAAGAATGAATTCTGCAATTAGCGCCCCTAGCAAGATTTAAATTTATCAATTTTGGCGGTAAAGCTACAGGGTACCGGTACAAACACCACTTAATACAGATTCATACTTTTTAATAAAGGAAATATACATAAATGTCATTAAACCAGAGCATATCAAGTTGATATCTAATTAAACAAAAAAAAAAACAATAAAAATAAATTATTCAAATTAATGGCCAGAAAATATGTTATCAGCTTGATACATTTTTCTGTAACTTCAAATTATTAAAAAATATGAAACTGTACTCTTTACTGGTATCGGTGCCAATAGCATTAACTTTATCAACAAAATTCAGTAAATATAAATCCCGTTAGGGGGGCTAGTTTTTTGACATATTTATACATAAGTTTTTAAGATATGACGAGTTTGACATATAAAGTTCTCGACAGAAGAAATCAGAGGCAACACTTTTGATCAAAACAACATATTATGTAGCGCAACTACCGTAATGCCTACTTGAACGTGAAAAATCTTGAAAAATTGGTTAAACATGATATAAAATTCTCTATTCGATTTCAAACCTATTTGTAGTATACTTGTAGATATTTTATTCACATGATTCATAAATACACAAACGAAATAACTATACAACTATCTACCAATACATTCTAATAGGTTAAAACTTGTTTCGATAGAAAAAAAAATGTTGCATACTAAATTGACTTAAACATTAAGTTAAAGTAACTAAAAAATATGAAATATAAGTTGGGTCTAAAAAAAAGAGGTGGTATTAGGTTGTAAAAAGCTTAAAATGAACAAAAGTACGACTAGATTGCTTAAAAACCGGACAAATTCTATTAAAATTTATGTACTTAACCTTACTTCAACATAATATTCACAAAAAGTTTTGAAAAAATTACCAAAAAAAAAATGGGAGTAAGTTTAAGTAAAAATAATTAGAGCCTAGATATAATCAATTTTTTGTTTGTTCTTAAAAGAAACGAAAATACTTTAAAATAAATAAAAATTATTACTTTAGAGCAATTTTTACTTGAAATACGGTTTGGTTTTTACAAATTAAAGAAATATATACTTAAATAAACTCATGTTAAACATTCAGTAGTTTTAGATGTCAATAATAACTACGAAAAACGAAAATTCATACTCCAAAACAATCAATCAAACAGAAAATCTACGAAATTAAGTCTAAATTGAACACAATCATGCAAAGATTGTTTTTCGATATGGTTGTATTTGCTGTTATCATGATTTTGCTATTTTTAACTCTTTTTGGCCTAAGAACCTAAATTTATTTTTTTTTTTTGGACATTATGGGTAGAAAGTAAATTTTAAGAATTAATGTTAAACAAAATATTTTAGTATTTAGTTAATTTTAAATTGCCATTACACTACCGCAATTGTGCCAATTTTGGTTATGGCTCAGAGGTTGTTCAATAAAATCTAATCAACACTACGCGAGTGCCCTCTGATATCTAATCTGATACTATTCCATGTTTTTTACTCATAAAGACATTATCACAAATTAAAATATGAAACATCATAGACCAGGAATCATGCCAATTAACTAATACATCCATTGTTGAACCCAAAAGATGAAAAAACTTACGAGTTATCCATAAGACCTACTGAATAATTAATAAGAACCACTCACCACAGAAAAAGTTATGCAAATAAGGGCACATTCTCTTTCGGCAACAAATTGACTTACTCAGCCATGTTTTGAGTATTAAAAGATCGTACAAGATTAGAAAGGTTACTTTCCACCCACTCCGAACTCAAAAAATAAAAAATTCAAAATGTAGTCTAAAAAAACTACTTTATCATGCAGAACTATGCACTGCAAAAAACGTTATGCAAGTAGGAGCACATGCATTCTTTACACAACAAATTAATTTACTAATTCTTGTTTTGAGTATTAGAAGGTGGTAGAAAATTAAAAAGTGTGCCAATCACCTAACCCACTTCTGAACTTCTGAATTAAATAACTTCTGGTTACTGAATATCTACTGAATCATTCATTTGAACTACTCACTGAAGATCATAGCAGGCAAATATGAGCACATATGCTTTTGAGGAAACAAATTGACCTACACACATTTGTTTTCATTTTGATTTCTAGTCTAATAAAGATTTAAAAACATTTCAATCGACTACTTTAACCACTCCTAAACCCAGTAGGGAAAAAATTAAAGAGTTGGTTAAAAGGACGCTACTAAATGATTCACTAGAACTATTCACCGCAGAAAACCTTATGCAAGTAATAGAACATGTGTTCTTTATGCAACAAATTGTGTTACACAACCTTCAGAAATAGTAACACAAATAACAACTGCAGTTGTAAGCAATAAATACATCAAATGCCGTCACAAACTTGTAAGTTTTCTGTGGTTGTAGTGGTTCACGAGAAAATTAAATTTCAATCATTTGTACTACATGTCAGTTTCCCACCAATCTATGATTTGTGCTTGTGGACCATAGCTAGTAACAAACAATCCATGATATAGTATTTTTATATTACTACCAACCTTTGAAAATAATGAACATAATTCCAAATGGAAGTGGTTCTAGTTTTGATATTAATAAATATTTTAGTTTTCCTGTATACTTTTAGTGACATTCATAAAAAACAGTATTTACAACATTTGGAATAGGAGGGGGAATGGATAGCATCAGTTCAAAGCTAAATTTTTGAGCTTATATTCAGGGTTTTAAAATCAAATTTACAATAATTTTGACATCGGTATTACTTTGTTCCTTTTAGACTAATTTTAGCACCCTGTAGCCCGAAAACTAGCCACCCCAGCCAAATATAAACGTCAGCTCCTTGTCTTGTAATAATCTTACTGAACGCTTATAAAAATATTTTTTTGCTAAATTTAGAGTTGGGTACTTATTCCGACTAAACTACCGTTAACATCACCATACTTTAAATGATCTATTCACCCCACGCAACCGGGAGTAAATAAAATTTAACCTAGAGATTACTATAAAAAGATATAAATGTTAAAACATAAGACAGGTATTAGGTGAATATTACTTTTACTTTAAATGCGGTATCGAAATCACTAATTTTTTAATAATTGTTTAACAAATAGGAAGATTTGGTAATTATTTATTACTCATTCACAAACCCCAGAAAGCTTCTCTAATTAACTAAATAAAAAATGTAAAATAAAAAAATACAAAAATGCTTCTCAAACCATGCCAATCATTTGTTTGCCAAGAGAAGCTTTCCTAATTATTTCGGTTGTGAAGTTTTCAAACAACCCATAGAAACAACAATACTTTCTTGATAAAACTGTATATATATATATATATATATATATATATATATATATATATATATATATATATCCAAGTATCCCTGCTTTCAAAAAAATTAAATGTAATATTCACCAAGTATGGTCTGAAACATATGTCTGACATACATTAAATAATTTTTAAAATAGATACTTTTATAAAGTCTTTTGATGTATGTTTCACAATTTTTAAATAGTTTACTAGAACATGAAAATAGAGTTACGAAAACCTAACGAATCCTTTTATATAAGGACTAGTTATAGCAAACGGCAAACCTGGTGAACTTACCCGCAATAGCAATAGGCTTGATATATATATACTTCTTAAATGCGCGTTTCTGATCAACCAGATTTGATATTGCTAATGATCGGAATGAAAAACTATTTAAAAGTATCATTTAACGTTTTGCATAAACTGAAAAACGTTAAGGATACTTTCAAATTCAAATTTAATATATACCACTCTCTATTTAAAATATATTTTAGTGACTGAGCAGTCGTTGGGGTCACATCCCGTTATAGCTAACTCCAGGTTAAATTTGTATTTACTACACCTAGACACTTTTGGTTGCTTCCTCAGTTAGTCCATAAATTTCCCATTGGGGGTTGCGAATGTGGAGATGACCTCACACTCAAATTGCTGAACTGTTGAGGTAAGTTTTGATTATTAAAAAATGGATTTGGGGTATTTTGTTGGCCCATCGGGTTGGACGTTTGAAACTGTTGTGAAGGGTTAAATGAAGGCGTGAAGTTCTGTTGTGGGAATCCTCCAAATGAGTTGTTTAAGAATTGGCTTCCTTGAGGTTGGTTTGAATTGGGAGTAAAATGCTGCAACAAAGAGTTCAAGTTAATTTATATATAAAATTACATTTTAAAAATTATGTCTATGGTATTCAAAAATGTTTGAAACGTACGAAACAATTTAAATTGTTTCGCGGAATATGTTATTCTAGAAAAAAGTCAAGATTCTATTATTAAATGAATACCTGATCTACCTGTTATGTATGAGCACAAAAACCCTCGGCATGCATTTTTTAGAAGAAGAAATAAGAAGACGCGACGCCTATCAATGTCTAGTTCAGCAACAGCAAAATTGACGAAAATCTGGAAAGAAACTGGCATAACTAAAGCGACGAAACGTCGCCTTGCGTCTGCACTGGTATTCAATATTGCAACATATGCCTCTGAAACGTGGACTAATCTAAACGTGGCAAACAGAATCGACGCCTTTGAGATGCGGGTATCCATGAGGATATTACAAATTCCATGGACAGCCCTTCAAACAAATGAGTCTGTATGTCAAGAACTAAATATTAATATCAGACTCATTACAACAGTAACCAGACATGTTGAGATACTTTGGCCGTATCACTAGAATGAAAGAGAACAAGGAAACACTGATCGTCGAGATAGAGAATCGAAGGCTGTAACGTCGATATTTGATAACATCTAGTACACACATTTAATTCAAGGTCAGGTTAGCTCTTTGTCGGAGAGAAGGTGTGGTAAGGTCAAATGCACAAAAAAAACTACGTAGTACGTCAAAATTTCAAACACAATTAGATAACATGAAATTATAATTTATCATTGGACGCCACCCCTTGTTTATCCTCGTAGGGGACGAGAGAGAATAAAAAAATAAGATATATAACAAAATTTACAGCGAAATTACACTTTATTATTTCTCAGTAATAAAAAAAACATTAAAAGTTATGTTATTTCCAAAGGATACTAAAATACCATTTCATAATTACATTACTATAAACAAAGCAACTTTCTATCTTTTTAAATCAAGAATTGGTTGATAAAAACAAATGAATTTATATATTATTCCCAAATTTCGAAATTCGTTTACATTTAAAATATTATAGTAGTTATTTATTAACTAGGCATAATAGAAAAGTTAAGTCTTTAAACAAAATTTAAAAATATTTCACTATATTCTTGTCTCTGTGAATCCATAAATAATTCTCGCGTTCCTGATAGGGCTTAATAAAAAAAAATAGGTACAACCTTATTTATCCAATCTCTGGGAACCAGGAAAAAGGGATATACTCTGCTTCTTCTCATCCGTTGGTTATTTCATCAAATATTTACTAATAGGAATCCATTTATATTATAAGTAATTATTGGAAACCATATATAGGGAAGTATTGGACCATAGGAAACTGTCTCAGTTAACTTAACATAATCAATGAACTTTAACCTCCCGGAAAGAGTCTCTAACCTAGAGACTCACTTCTAAAACACGTCCTATCGGGTGGACGTTTGTAACAGGAAAGGAAGCGACGCTATTTCAACGGTTTTGAATTAGGGGCTTGATTGACAAGTTAATATCGTTCTCATTTATCGGGTATGTTGAGAATTACCGTAGAAACCTTGAGTCGAATACAAGCACCTGGCAGATAGGTGGGGTTAGTAGTTTTATTTAAAAAAAAATAATCAAATTTATAATGAATTTTCTAAAACTTTTGAAACGGTTACAAGGCATGAGATCAAGGGTCAGATTTCCTTCACGGTGGTCTGATCAAAGTCTGCTTTCAAAGTGCTACATTAAAAAAGATTAACATTAAAAGGCAAAATAACACAGAAGTATTAGTAGGAAAGTGAAGGGAGAAACACGACATTTTATTTTTGACAAAAGGAGTTGTCCTAGAAAAGTTGAAGTTACAAAACCATCAACCATAGGTGATTACTCTGCAGCAAAAGTGCTCTTATGATTCTTATGGTTTTCAAGTACATTGTGGGTTCAAATGGTACCGGAAAAATCTTGTTTTAAAAAACTATTTGGCAAACATTGTTCTAGTTAATGCTATTGGTTGTGCACAAGGTGTGACTTGAAAGAAAATGAGCGTCAGAGAATTTCACCAAAATATGGTGTGTGCCTTGTTGGTAATCCCAAGAATTAATATCAAGTGGTAGATTTCACAGAGAATAAGCGAAACTCATGAAAGTTGAGTAATTTGCTGAAGAAGTACTCTGACAGAGAAGAGCGAAAGTTTTTTTCATTTGCTATCAACAGGTCCCCGCAGACATTAGGGATAGCAAACCCAGTGGACTCCTACGTTACTATATAGCTAATTTCGTTGCTAATACCATCAAGATGTAATTTAAAATTATTTCAATTACATTTACAGGATTTTTACCCCTGTATTTAGTGGATTCAAATATGTAAATCCATATAACACTCATGATGCAATAGTTATTCAGAAAAGTTGTGTGATGTAGCTCGATAGGGTTTTAAATTAATATACCTTTTATAAAGGAATTTTTTTAAATAAATATTTTTGTGATTCATGGTTTACAGCCAACTACAGGAATTCAGGTTTCTTGTGGATATTGACATAATGTATGATGAGACAAAATAACAAATAGTGTAGTTCTTCGAAGAATGAACAAAGAACGGGAGCTGTTGATCACCATCAAGAGAAGAAAGTTGGAATATCTTGGTCATGTAATGAGAGGGAAAAAGTACCGATTGCTCCAGTTAATTATCCAAGGAAAGATTCAGGGCAAACGAAGCGTGGGGAGACGGCAGAGATGGGAGTACTGAGAAAAATTACAGGAAATACGCTGAGAGATCGAAATAGAAGTAAAGACATTAGAAGAAAATATAACGTGCAGTGTATAAATGAATGGACACAAAATAAAAAAAGAATGGAATAACCACATAAGCAGAATGGAGGAGACCCGTGTCGTCAAAATAACAAGTCACCAATCGGCAAAAGGAGTATCGGACGACCGATAACGCAAAAGATGGTGTGACAACCTTCCATAGAGGTATTAATCCTTCCATAGAGGTATTAATGAACAAGCAGAATTGCTTATAAAGAGGAAGAAGAAGAAGATGTATGTTTTTTTTTAATTTATTTCTTACATTATGTAGCAGTATTTTTGTTTGTTTGTCAGTTTGTTTTTAAAATAAACTTTTTTGACTTGGGTACAGTCTGTGGCACATTTCACTACTGTTGTTGATAAAAAATGATAAAGATCTGTTCATGAGATAAATCTTCCAATAATCATATAAAATAAATACCTGAACTTGATTTGGGGGTGGACCTTGTGGATACTGCTGTTTAAACCAATTCTGTTGCTGCGGTTGTTGGGCTTGTTGAGGCCATTGACCATGCGCAGATGCTTGACTCATACTTCCATTTTGCATAGGAAAGCCGGATGTTTGAAAATTTGATGAAGTTCCGAATCCTTGGAATGCTCCTTGTTGTCCTCCAGTCTAAATAAAAATGCAAAAAAAATTATAAAAACACTCCGTTTCAAGCTGTAAAATCTTGCTTAATTAGATTTCTTCATTTACAAGAGAGTCGAGACAACTTAATCTACAGGACACGCTAATTACAGTGAACTATCGTCATGCAGATTTAAGAGGACCTATTTTTAATGGTGTTGGTTAACACAGCACATACCATATAGCAATGTAAGTGGTATAGGAAAAATAGGGCGAGTATTATGTAAGGCCCAACCACGAGATGGAGCTATTAGTCCCACCACAGATGTGACTGTGACCAGATCTACCGTTTTTTAGTACATCTATTGATTCGGCAGTTCATCTAAAGGGTAAATGTATACATTTTGAGATCTTATGTATATCTCAAAATCATTAAAACTCTTAACTCGGTGTTTAATTTATGAATGTTTTGTATTTTGAGAACGATTTGCGTTCTCGCAAGTCGAAATCGAAATCACAAACTTATCTTATAAGTAAAATTGTGGCTTATTCCCAATAAAAATAGTAAATTATTTAACATGTCACCAGAAAATAGCTTCAGAACAATATATTTATTTGTAAACATGTAGATAATATAAAAATGTCTGACATTCTTAATTTTTATAATATTCAATAATTATTGATTAAAAAAAAACTTTACTGAAATTAGGTATACAAGCAAATATGCTAAACTTCATCACTAACTTTTTAAAAAACCGAAGCTTCCAAGTAAAAGTAGATGATTTCATTTCTAAAACAAGAATACAGGAAAATGGAATCCCTCAAGTATCATCGATTAGTGTTACTCTGTTTCTTATTGCTATTAACACTATTTTGGAAAATGATTCCCCACCAGTAAAGAGTAGGTTATACGCAGATGATCTCATAATTTATTGTAAAGGAAGAAACATAGAACTAATTAAACAAACCTTACAAGATACTATTTCTGCATTAGAAAAATGGTCAATGAAAATGGTCCAACAAAAGTAAATGTATCCATTTCACCAGAAAACGCAATGTTAGTAGTCCACCACTTACAATCTTTAATACAAAAGTAGAATATGTTGATTGTATCAAATTCCTTGCTTCCTCTATGGTTAAACAATTTTACAGTAAGATTGATGAGTACCAGTATTACCAACATATTTATACTGATGCCTCCAAATCAGAAAAAGAAGTGGGATATGCCCTCATACAGAACGACTACACTGCTTCATACAAAATCTCAAATTTTAGCACAGTATATAGAGTAAACTATTCGCAATCTACAAAGCATTACACAATAATAACAGATTCCTTAAGTTCCATGAGTATCTTAGGCACCATTTACCCAACTCATCCATTGTTGCAATTGATAAAGAACCATTTGTACCAACTTCAGCAAAAGAATGCGATTTTAAAATTTATGTGGATTCCGTCACATATAGGTATACAAGGTAATGAAAGATTAGATGCTGCCGCCAAATCTTCGGTTAACAACGAAGACTTGATAGAACCTACCTATGAGAAAGATTTTCATCACTGGATTAACTCGACATTGAAAGAACATAAAAACAACAGTTACAAGATGGAAGAATATGTGTAGCAACAGGAAAGACCAAATTATAATAAACAGACTGAGATTAGGACATACACGCTTAACACATGAATAAAATATTACTGGAAGTCTTGTTCATACATATGGTTGTTTAAGGAAGAAAAAAAAATGTTTAAAAACATTTTAAAAATTATCTAAGTTACAAGAAAGCATTACTTTACCAAAGAAAACTATAGAAATAATTAAATTTCAGTATATGGTATTCAGTGACATCGTACGATATGCAACTACGTACCTGCAAAATATATATGTTTTATATGTTTTTATGTTAAAAAAATAATATTTTTTGAATTTTACAATATTACACGTCATTATATATTTTATTCAAATGTTAATAACAACGAAACTTATATTATAAATAATTATTGTACATATACAGATTGAACGAAATAAATTTGGAACACACGAAATAGTATGTATTTCGGCTCAATTCTGCTGTAGGTGGTTGGCCAACAAAAGGTTGTCAAATAATTATATTATAAAAATCCAATATTTCAGCGAGCTGCTGGATTCTGAAATCATAAAAATTCAAAGCTACACATAAATCTACGATTTTATTATGCTGTCAAACCACTTATCGCTTCCTTAGACAAGCCCTTCTTTGAACGGTGTTACCAACCTCATTGTTAAGGTGTTAACCAGAAAATATTTACAGGACGGAAAGGAAATAACTACAAACCATTAAGTTTATTTTTGTTATTAGTCTGTTGTAGTAGATTGGTAAATACAATGAAAAATATAGGCAAATATCCGATTTATTTAAAGATACGAAGAAGATATAATTCTCAAAAAGATCCGCAAATCGGATTATTACACGGCGATTAGCAACATTGTTACGCAAACACATTGTTGCGAGACAGATAGTTGAACGATATTTTATACAATGTCTATACCCAGGTATGGATTTATTTTTGTCCAAGTTTTATTTTGGTCCACTATTTCAAATGCAGTTCAAATAGACATATATTAAATTGTATGATCCGTTTTATATTCGTTCAATCTGTATATGTACAGCTACGGTCATTGACCTTACATTTATCTATAACCGGTTTTTTAAATTTGTATCTCGTTTAAACGCACATTTTACGTCAAAAAGACGTTACCGGTGGTGGACCCGGACATAATTAGGATGATTAAAATTAAAAAACGAAAATAAAAGTAATCTACTGTACAAAATGTAACAAAATGGAAATTATAGACAGCAGTTTTTGCTGTTCTTCGAGCTTGTTGCGCGTGATTCAAATGCATTCTAGGCATTTTGGACGCGTTTAATAGCTTTTTATTTTATTTCTTAATACGCGCGAAATTATTGACAAGCAATTTGACATTTAGCAAATCCGTACGACACTGCGATTTTACAGTACAATGACGTATAATATATAGACTCCAATGACGTATAATATATAGACTACGCAGTCCCCTATTCTCGCTATAGAATCGAGTGTCCGGAAGATCTCGGCTCAAGGTTGAAGGTATGTTTATCACAACAGCGACGTGCTCATTTATATGTTAATGACAATATATATTTTTTTAATTAAAATTAAATATTTATGATTTCTATTTGTTCCCGTCTATAAGAGAAATAATTATTTTGATAAAATAGTATGGCATTTTACTAAAATAGTAAGTAAATAACTTCAACAATTTAAAATAAAATTTGCTTGTCACACACAATGGAGAAAATATTTTCGTACGTCCATGATGTTTTCAAACACAAGATCAACTTCGTGATGCTTCGTAAGAAATCATGAACTTCGTGCATCTTCGTATCAAAACAATAAACAATAACAAAGGTATTCATGTTTTGGACACTTTTTAAAGCGTTCACCGAGTCTATATATTAAGGCCCGTTTTCACGGTACACTTTGGATGATCATCCCGGGTGAATCATCCAAAGTGAAAAATAAATGAATCGTATAAACTATTATTCATCGACAGTGATCATCCAAAATGAATATTGAACGAAGTTGAACCGAGTTCTACTTTTGTTCACTTTAGGGGATGCATCGCGGATGAATCATCCAAAGTGAACCATGTAAACATGCATTTGTTGCTGTAATTCATCGGTAGTGACTAGTGAACGGCGGCAACAGGTCCACGTGGTTGTGTATTGTCGCGTTTGAAGTGCGTAGTTGTTGTGTTTGTACGCTTGCTATCATGGTTTTTAAGTGGAAAGACGACCATACTCCTCTAATTTTGAGTTTAATGAAAGACCGACAGTGTCTTTGGAACACTAAAGCAGAGACATATAAAAATAAAACCCATAGAGAAAAAGCGTTAAAAGAAATCGTTGAGGAGCTGAATCTTCAGGGAGTGATGGTGGAAGATATTAAGTTAAAAATAAAAACAATTCGTACCCGATATTCATCTGAACTGGCTAAAGTAAATCAATCCGTAAAAAGTGGTACAGGGCCAGATGACGTTTATGTCCCCAAACTTTTTTGGTACAAACAAGCCGATTCATTCTTACGTGCAGTTTGTGTACCGAGGAGCAGCTCAGCAAGTACAGTAAGTATAGCATTTTTTTATTTTCATACTACTAGCAATTATAAGTACATATATGTATTAGGTGGGTCGTAGGGTATTGTAGTAAGTTGAAAATAAAAACCATATCGATTTAAAATAGCTGAAATATAGTTGATCGTTTTAGACGTAAAATGTCCCACTTCATCTTGGTTGCTTACCTTACACGTATAAACAACAAAACCACAGAAAAATTAGTTACCAATTTTTATTAAGTAAATGAACAATTATACAAGAATAAGCCATTTAAATCATTTTCCACTGCCACGGTACAATTTCAGTTGAACAGAACAGATCTGCATAATCATCACGTACAGCGGCAGCAACTTTCTTGTGGTTGTTACTTGTAGCAAGTGTTATGTCTCTGAGGCCGTCGTGTGTAGTTTGTCGCCATATTCCAGGTACAATTCTGCCTTCCTCCCATAATTCAACATCAATCAATCCCTCAGTTACGTATGGTGCTTTGCAAGTAGAGGTTTGTCTGAGCCAATTATGAAGAACACAAGTAGCTTTCACCAGTAATTCAGTTGTTTCTACTTTGAGAGGAATAGGCTTTTCGAATACTCGAAAACGAGACACAAGTATGCCAAATGCATTTTCTGATAGGCGACGAGCTCGAGATAGCCGATAATTAAATACCCTTTCCTTCCTAGTTAATGATTTCTTGCTATAAGGTTTCAAAAGATAGGTTCTAAGAGGAAAAGCGTCGTCCCCAAGAAAAACACCATTTTCAGGTATATTTAACAAATTGTTCTCCAGAGCTTCGTTAAATGTACATTTGGAAAACACTAATGCGTCATTTGCTCTGCCATTTGTACCGACGTCAATATATAGGAAGTTATAATTAGCATCCACAATTGCAAAAAGAATAGTGCTGAACGTTTGTTTATAATTGAAAAAATACGATCCCGACTTCGCAGGACAGCGAATAGCATATGTTTCCCGTCCATAGCGCCACAGCAATTAGGGAAGTTCCAAAGGGTATAATATTCCTTCATTACTTTTGTCCATTCATTAGTAGTGGTAGGCACCTGTAAAAGACAAAACTGTATACGTATGTGTATTATAAGTGGGTAAAAATTCGAGCAACTTCGTTTTGTATGATAATATGCGGTATCTGTTTCAGGTTCCGAAATGTAAAAGGAGCCCAACGCCACAGAATCCAGATACTGAAGATGTCAATTATGAAGGAAATAATACTGATACCGAGGTTATCATACCTGCGGCAGCAAATGATGTCATACCGACAGATGATGGAGTACTACCTAAAGAAAGCGAACTGGCACAGCATAACAAACGAATCAGAAAAGAGAGTCCCCAAGCAAATTTGAACACCCCATTTTCAAAAAAGCATCGTTTTTCTGGAATTTCGGCTATTGAAAAAGCAATAGATAAATTAAGTGCAATTGCTGCACAGAATGCAAGCACAGATAACGAATTTGATCATTTTTGTCGAAGCCTGTCAGTTCAGCTTAAAACCATGCCTCTGGACCGCGCCTGATATGTCAAGAAAAGCTGCAAAAGGTTATGATGGAAGAGCGCATGTATCTCTTCAACTTAGAACAGACTCGCTCAAAGGAATCTACTCCATCACTGTATACAGTATATTCGACTAACAGTGAGACGTCAGTTTCTACACCGACTACTACAATGGAAAGATATGAAGAGAGTGCTCCTTATGATATATTATCCGAAGCATTCTCGACTATTCACAATTACCAATGAATTTATGTTTGATTTTAATTTTTGAATAAAATGCCTTTTGGATAAAGTTTTAATACGTTTTTTTTTTTAAATATGTAAGAAAGAATCTAATTAGGTACTAACCTTGATACAGTATTCAAGTATTTCGTAAATAGCAGCTAATACTTCTGGCATAAAATGGGAAATGGAGCATTTAGGTACACGATACAAAGCTTCGAGTGTTGAAAAGCAATCTCCTGCTGCAAGATATCTTAGTACAATTTGCAATTTCAGTCTTGGATGAAGAGATTCTCTCATGGTTGTGCTTTGCTTTTGAATTAACGGTGTGACTTTGGTAAGTAGCTCTTCAAATTGCACTTCAGACATTCTTAGATGGTTTTGTAACATGGCTTGATCTTCTGTAGACCATTCCTTTAACAAACACGTTGACGCCCCCATTTTGTAGCGTCGAAGTATCCACGGCCTTACCCACCAACGTCGTTTTTTTTCTAATCTTCTGTTTTTCAAGTACATTTTCAAGTTCATTTAAAAGATATTCACTTATTATACCAATTCCAGCACGTACAACTTCAGTCGGCGCCATTTGTAAGTGAACAGACTAGTTCAGTCTTGGTGATACATGTAAACGATAATTACTTTCATCGTCGTAGTCACTTTGGATGATTCATCCGGGATGATCATCCAAAGTGTACCGTGAAAACGGGCCTTTATACGTCATTGATAGACTCGGTGAACGCTTTAAAAAGTGTCCAAAACATGAATACCTTTGTTATTGTTTATTGTTTTGATACGAAGATGCACGAAGTTCATGATTTCTTACGAAGCATCACGAAGTTGATCTTGTGTTTGAAAACATCATGGACGTATGAAAACATTTTCTCCATTTTGTGTGACAAGCAAATTTTATTTTAAATTGTTGAGAGTTATTTACTTACTATTTTAGTAAAATGCCATACTATTTTATCAAAATAATTATTTCTCTTATAGACGGGAACAAAAAGAAATCATAAATATTTAATTTTAATTAAAAAAATAATTATTGTCATTAACATATAAATGAGCACGCCGCTGTTGTGATAAACATACCTTCAATCTTGAGCCGAGATCTTTCGGACACTTGATTCTATAGCGAGAATAGGGGACTGCGTAGTCTATATATTATACGTCATTGTTACAGTATTACAATATAAAAATTAGTGACCGCAGCTGTACCAAAAGATTTTTTTTCGCAAACCACTGACATTCCGGATACAAGAGTTATCATTGTTACCATTGTTATCAACTACTTTGGATGCAAATATTTATTCCCAGGTTGCATCCTTAGTATGTTACATCGTTGGGATAGCGAAACATACGTTTGGAATTTACTGCCAAATTATTTAGTTCAAGGTCCAGTCGCGTGAGGCGCTATAAACTGTCTCCCTACTTTTTACTACAGGAGATACCATGCTAGAAGGATGTGTGCTGTGTTAGTTAAGTACATCGTGCAAACGAAACAGTGGCTGGAAAAAATCTGAATAGCAGACGCTAACACTTAATACGGTTCCGAAACTATTGTGGCACTTTATAGTAACTATTATATTTTATTACAATGAATCACAATTTTTTATAGTTACTTTACTAAATTAGTAAGTTAACAGCTTAGGTTCGCTATTTAGCAAGCTAGCAGTATGTATATAATGCTCGGCAAATACACCACTAAATTAATGCCGAAATATATATTTCGTGTCCTAATAAATCACTAATTTGCATAAAAAAATGTAAAGTTTATTAAATAATTACCTGTGGGAATTGGCTAAAATTATTGGCGCTTGGTCCATTGCCGTACAATGCCATAATACTATCCTTGTCTAATTTTACTTTTTCTTTTTCGGTTGGTAATACTTGATTAAAAAAGCTCTCTTCTTCTGTTTTAACTGGATCGAGAGCTTCTTGTGTTTCCGGCTTTACCGTCGTTGTAGGGGCGGATACGAAACTACTGAAATTATCTTCGGGGTTTTGTAAACCTAAACAGAGATTGGTTTTATAATATATTCTTAATTTTAAATTTATGAGTATCCTTTATTAGGATTATTGAAACGGCAATCAAAAAAGAATCCCTTAAAAATATTCGTAGTTATTATATGGGAGGCAAGTGAAGTATTCACTAGAAACATTATGAGAAAAACATTGGGGAGTTAATTAAAAAACCTGAGGAGTATCTATATAGGTATTATATACAGCAATGGTGAGACTATATCACTTACTGGGTAGTGGCCTAAAAAAAGTAGAACCGGTGTAAGCAACACGAGGAACAATCTCGTTCAGCTTTAAATTGCACTTATGTTAACATGGATTTCGAAAACGTTTTGTTGTTGTAAACGATTGAAAACGATTGGGTTTTTAAATTATATATCTTTTATAAACGATTTTAATATTTTTTTTCAACTTAGCTCTGAAGCAAAGTGCAAAAATCGCAAAAACCGACTACAGTATTCCATCTAAAAGAACAAACTTACTGTTGGTATTTGTAGGCGATATCGATCTAATGGGAAACACCAGATAAGGATGTAAGAGACTTTCGTCAGGTCCTAGAAAGAAGAGAGATAGTGGCCCTAATTATTGAAAGCAAACAAAATATATGCATATGAGCGACAATAACCGAAGCAGACAAAAGTTGTTCGGATAGAACATACCTATTGATCACTTTGAGCGCGTCAGAGAATTTAAGTACCTTGAAACAACAATAACCAAAGACAATAACTGATCACAAGAAGTAAACAATATAGGATACAAGTCGGCAACATATGTCTTTATGCCCTTCAAAATAACCAAAAAACCTAAAAATCAAAAGAAATAACAAGACATACAAAGATACAACTATATGAAACAGTCAAACGGCCAAAAGTAGTGATGCATAGTAGCAAAACTTGGAAGAATACAAAGGTAAACGAAGGGCGACTACGTATTTGGGAAATAAAAATCCCAAGAAAGATCTTTGGGCTTGTGCTTGATGGATAAGGAAGACAAAGGATAAAAACTAACAAAGAGAACAGACGCTAACATACTAAAAGAAATAAAGTCCAGAAGACCCCAGTGGGAAGGACACCTCAGAAGATATTCTGGAGAAAGAATAGTAAGGCTGGTATGGGAAGAAGCCTCAACTGGAATAAAATCACGTGGATGACCTCGACTCCGGTGGTGAAATAATACAGGAGGAGACCTTAAAATTATGAGCGTGGAGAATTTGATGGAGACTGCTCAAGACAGAGTGGAATGGAGACATGTTGTCACCTCATCTAAAACCAAGGGTTGTAACGTCATGGAGTAAGCAAATGTGGTCATTGTCAATACATCTTTATCGCTCAAGTGCAATCATAAGGGAACATAGAGACCTCCGGATGGAACCACAGTGAACACGATCAATCATGTTATAGACTCTAGACATCAATCAGTTGTAATAAATGTGCGTAGCAGACGAAGAGCAAATGCAGACTCGGACCAGTATCTGGTCCGGTTAAAAAAAAGAAAGTAAAAGAAGAACCAAATTATCAAACATTAAAATCGAATGCAAGAATGAAAAATACGATATAAAAAACTTAAAATATAACCAAAATAACAAAATATAAAGGAAAGTATAAAAAGAAGGTTAGAAAGCTGACATACACAAAAAATGGGAATTACGTAAAAGAATTATTAGAAAACCGCAAAAGAAATCATGAAAATGTAGAAGAAGATAAAAGAACTAAAGCACAATAGTTTAATGAAGAATGTCAAATACCAAAGACTATAACTACAGAAGACGTGACAAGAATAAGAAGAATATACGCTGCTGAGGGAAGAAGACAAGACAATGAAGGAGGAAAGGGAAGAATATAGAAAAAGAACTCAAAGAGATAGGAGAACTAAATAAACTCACATACCACAAAATTATATCAAAAATAAAAAAAATAAACGGATAGACAAAGGAGACATAGTAAATAAATTCAAAGATTGAAAAGATAACAGAATTTAGACAAGAAAGACAAGATTGACGGTAAAAGGCATCAAAGGGAAGGACCAAACTCAGATATAAGGAAAAAGACCTGAAAAATTAATAATTGGAAAAACAAAGCAGATAACAGATTATACTAGAGAAAAATCTTGGACAAAGTCAAGGCCCATAAAGGATTACCCAGCTAAATCTAATGATGAAGATGATGAAGTAACGTAAATGTCTAAATTCAAAGAGATGTCTTCAGATGTATTCTTAAAACCACAAAATTCTTGACAGATCCCCAATTAAATAATGACAGTTTACAAATTCTACACCATTTATTGAAAAATTCAAATTTTCAATGCCTGAATTATAGTTAATTTAATAACATTTTAAAGGAGCCCAAAAAATTAACTGCACAGGAACAGTTTGATAAATTCTGATATTTATAAACCGTATCTAATTTTGCTTATCTAACTATAAAGCTACTTATATTTTTAAAACAATGAGTACTCGAATTCTAAAATATTTTATCACGAAAATAATATGAACTAGATAAGAACTAAATATTTTAAAAGTAAAAAACGGAAACGGTAAATTCAATGTTAAGATATTTGACATTAAAATAAAAATAATATGTATATAATTCAGACAAAATCGGAAATTAAAAGAAACTTATTATTCAAGCAAAATATTATCAAAATTGTATATTTAAGATCAAAAAATTAGGATTTTTAAAAAGTCTTACCAAAAATTTACATCTTCGAAAACAAGTACACAAAAATTTTTGATGACAAACGATTTGATCGCGAAATCAACAACGATGTTGATTTTTCTCCACCTAACTTGATTTCTTATTAAAAATGAACAACCAATGGCGTGACTTGAAAAAATGTCTATAAAGGTGTATTTAAATGTCAAATTAACAAAAAATCGTAACCAATAGAAAATACGATGTCGTCTCGTTCTTCTTTTTCTGTACAAAGTTTTTGTTATATATTTGAAGATTTTTCTTCCGTTCGTTCCTACTGTTTTCTGCATTTTTTTAAATTATTTTATTATCTTTAACCGGATGTACTAAGTGTCCGTTTTTATTAAGTATTTAGTATAATATTCAATCAATAAATACAATCCGTTAGTTGCTGATGTGAAAATAAAATTAATAAGAATTGAACTCCGAAAACAACAACCAAAAATTAATGGATGATAAAACAAATTATGGATGTAAATAAAAAGTGGTATAATATAAAAAAAAACACATTACTGAAACCAGCTCAAGAAAGTTTGATACAACATAGGTCAGAGGCTAAAAACACTGGATGACAGAAGAAATACTATTACAGATGGAAGAAAGAAAGAAATATAAAGGAAAAGATCTACCAGAAGTATAAAGAAATACAACGAATAATTAAGGAAAAAATCAAAACAGCTAAGGAAATCTATTTGATGAAACAATGTGAAGAGATAGAAGAACTAGAAACAAAATATGACATGAGAAATATTCACAAAAAAATAAGAGAAGTGACTGGAATGGGTCGAAATAGACAGCAAGGGCACATAAAAGACAAAAAAGGAGTAGATACTACTAATAGATTTACCAGAGAAATTAAGACTACGGGAGGAATACGTTAGAGAATTTTTCCAATATGAAAGAGGTGAAATGCAGAAAATACAAGAATTAAATCCTTTAGAGAGACGGAAGATCACGATAGATGAAATCAAATATGCTTATTTGAGTGCCTCTCATATCGGAGATTGGATATCAATATGGCGATTCTAATTTTATTTACTGCTGTTTTAAATAATTCGTTAGTGGAGCAGCCAAACCACTCCCTTAACTTTCTCATCCAGGACATTCTTCTACGGCCTGGATTTCTGCGTCCTTGGATTTTCCTTGCATTATATTTTGTAGGAATGTGTAAATTTGTCCTCTCATCAGGTGGCCTAAGTATTCAAGTTTTCTCTTTTTTATGTTCATAATAATTTCTGGATCGTTATTTATTCTGCGTATTGCCCCTTCATTTGTAATTGTATCCACCCAACTTATTTTTAGCATTCCTCTGTTTAAGAGTCCATGCCTCAACACCGTAAAGCAAAGTACTGAATACATAGCATTTTAACTTGTATCGTTAAGTAATTAAATGTTATAAATAAATTGTATTTTTAGTGTTTGTGTTAGAAGACTGTAAATAAATTAAAATAAACATTACAATACCTAATATCAATTAATACAAATTCAATCCATACTTTACCTAATAGATCACTATCTTTTTTCTCCGGTTTGTTAGTACTCTCTACACTATTCACAGCTCTGGATGGTTTAGGGCTAGGATTAGTAGGTTTAGGCAATTGAGGCACTTCTACGGCCCCTAACGATTTCTTTTCAACTATAGTTTTCTTTTTACGCTTGTTTTTTTCGAGTTCCTCTTCTATTTCTTTCTCCCAATTAACTTTAGGTAATGGAGGAGGTACCCATTCGCGCGCAATGTACTTTTTATGTTCATATTTTGCTCTTATAAAAGATTCTAAACTCGAATCATTTTGGGGACGCCTGAAGTTGTCTGGGAGATTGGCTTCATATACTGCTCTGGCCCTTTAAAAAACATATATTTATGTTAGTTTATAAAATTAACAGTGGTTAAAGACTGGTAAAGGGTCTTGGAAGCAAGAGGGAGTGCCGATATCTAGATAGTAATAACACTCATGAGGAATTTTCACTGAATCTTAACAAATTGGTTAGGAATTTACAAATAAAACTCAGTCTACCAGTAAATCCTTCTCTAACATAATCGAAGACGTAATGTGTCCTGTTACAACTGGGTGATACAATAGGTGTGTGTTATGTAGCAGACAAGAGTTCTGGCGTCTTAAAACTATAACAGAATATGGCTGAGGGAAAAATCCCAACAAAATTTTGATCTTATAGGTTGGGGGTTAAAATGATGGGTAAACAACTCATCATTTATAAAAGTTGGTGTTTTGTTTTGCTGTTAAGTTATTATAGGTATATTTATATTTATCTATATTTACTTATAAGTTATTATGCTCTTTCCATTGTACTTTGTGCTGGTTATCCCAGGCATATTTGCATATCTGAGATTTGTTGAAGTTTCTGTTCTTGATGTATGTGTCATGCTTGTTTATCCTGGCACTTGGTGGTCGTGCAGTTTTTCCCACATAGAAATTGTTGCATTCACAGTTATTATATAGTTATAACTATAACCACAGATTGGTTATAACTATAACCACATATTGGTTATAATTATAATCACAATCTGTGGTTATTTTGAATGTTGTTGTGATGTACTCATTTCATATCCTTTTCTTCTGATAAGCACTTTACATTATGGTATTGTTATCATTTTTTAATCTCTTCTTGTGATTGTTTCTACATGGCTTGTAATGTTTTGATGTTTTTTTCTTCAATCTTGTGAAATTTCTTGTTTATAAATAACAATGGGTAGTCAATTTTTAATCAAAACCTTGGTTAGCAGGTTTTTTTCTTACTTCTACTTTCTTACATCTTACTTCAGATGCATTTTTATTGGAGCATAGTATTGGAGCATATCCTGTGTCTTCTTTTGTCATTAATCCAACCAGAAAAGGAAGTAAAATGTTGTTTTCATTCTCCATAATGAATTTGATTGATTCTTCTTTGTTGCTGATGTCCATCAGAAATTTATCCAGTACTGCTGGTTCATAAGGTCAAATGGAGAACCATCATCTATATATCTCCACCTTATTGTAGGTTGTTTGTCTTGTTTTTGTACAATGTTTTGGTCAGAGCTCCAAGAAAGCTGATACATTCAGTTTGGATTTTGTTGCCAATGTATCATCCCTCTCTAATTTGCCTCCTCAGTCTTTTCACCAATCTACCATTGGAGAAAACTTTAAAAATATGAGTCAAGATCGAACCTAATATTGGGTTGATGCTTTATAAATTTCTTTAGTCTTAGTTTCAAATCACTGACTAACAGGATATGATCCAAACGGACATCAGCTCCAGGATATGTTTTGACTACTTTTACTGAGTTTCGAAACCGCTCATTGATAGTGACGTAATCTACTCATTTCTTCTGATTTTTTCAGGACCATCTGCTGGAGCTCTTTAAGTGTAAAGTATCCTTTTCGGAATTTTAAAAAAGATATTCATAATACATACATTAATTTCTTTACAAAATTCTATTGTTATCATTACATTCTCCCAGACCAAACTCACCTACATTTTCTTCTTTACCTTCACCAATATTAGCATTTAAGTCTTCTTTCCCTTCACCACTCATATTAAACATAACCTAACCTAAGTGTATATTCGTATATTGATTTTTTTAATGAACCAGTGATTTGGTAAAAAATGATGTCAAAAATAATAGGATGACATTATTTATTGTTGTTTTAATTTAATTGATAGAAATTATATGTTTTATCGAAATAAAGTAAGGTTTATTAATGTTACATAACATAAAATATGCTGTATTTACCTTGAATTACCCATCTGCTGTAATGATACTACTTGCTCGGGAGTCCATGAGTCTAAATTAACTGATTTTACTTTCGAAATGTGTACTCCTAAGTTTCTGTGAATACCTGCACATCGTATGCATAAAAATACACCTATATTCCACGACGCCCATCTTGGTCCTTAGAAAAGAAAAACACAGAAATTAGCATTGCTTTTGTGTCTTTTTAAACTTAATTGTAGATTTCTACATTTCTTTTATTTCTTTTATTTCTTGTTATTTAAGCCAAATAACATTAAAATAAATTATATAATGAAAAACAGGGAAGAACTTGAAACCAATATAGACACAAATTAGATTATAACTTAAGGCCCCCGCCTCAGTATTCTTTTCGGTATTTTAAAAAGGTATTCATAATACACAGATTAAGTACTTCTTTACAAAATTATATTGTTCTCGTTGCATTCTACCAGACCAAACTCTCCTACAACATAAAGAAGTAAAGGATGTTTGTAAATCAATAAAGAACGGCAAAGCATAGTGTCCAGGAAATCTAGTAGAACAGAACAGATTGGCTATACCCTCTAATGAAAGATCTGTTTTAGAATGGTATCAATAAATCACAAATCCAGAAGAATTGAAAATGAACATAACGAATTGGAGGAAGAAGGACAAGCCAGATTTAGAGCCTAATGATCAACAATTGACCATTTGTTTACTCTGCCACTAATAATAGAAAAAAAATTAATAAACCCTTTAAAAAATTAAATAGATAAAATAAAATAAAAAATCACTCTACAAGAACAGCAAATCATAAATTAAACAAGGACAAAAGGTAACATCAGGATTTGACAAATAAAAAGAAATAAACGAGGATGTTGTCTGTCACCAATATTGTTCAAAATATACTTGGAAAGTGTGCAAACTAGTTTGAAAAATAAATGCCAAAACATGGGCATAACTTTGCAGATGATCAAATTATTGTAGCACAGAATATAGACGATATACAATATATGACACAATATGGCAGAGGAATATAAAATTTGGGGTCTAGAAGTCAACGTAGGTAAAACAGAACATATATGTATTGAGAAACACAACAATATTTACAAATAGCAAGCAGTTAGAAAATTAAACAAGGATCGGTGTACAAATATCTGTAGATGAAAATAACAAAAAATGGAACACTCGAAGAAGCAATGTTGGACAGGAATATGAAAGGAAGGAAAGCAATATCAATGTTAAAAACAGACTCTTATAGGATAGAACAATATACAATGAGAATAAAAAGCCAATTTACTGTACTATAGTAAAGGGAGCTTAATCATGTATAGTTTACCTTTAATAGAATGGACAGAAAACAGACTAAGAGCCAACGAGATGGACTACTGAAGAGGATCAGCAGGAAAATCAAGACAAGAAAGGATCACAAATTATAAAATCAGACAAATTATGAAAGTAAAACTATGCAGCAGTAGTGCAGTGTAGTGAAGAGATCTGAGGGCTCAGGAGACTGAGACTTAGGAAGCCCTGCAGAAGACATCGGAGAGGATGTCAAAAGTTCGGTGTAGTGAAAATAGATGTGGATTAACCCGAAAACCAGATGAATTTGATATTAATTTTTGTGATAATATTAATCTTACCTTTAGGTTTAATTGTACTAACCGCGGAGCCCAGCCGAGTATTATACTATATCTATAATGAACATGATTATTATGAGGTTTCGCTTAAAACAAGGTACATTAGATGTCCCATGAAATTTCTATTCAATATTCTATTGAAAATTCTATGTCCCACTATAACATACAGCGATTCAAAATTGGTTATAACGAGAGAAAATAAGATCCAAAAACGTGTTTTTTTACGTTTTTGGCCTGGCCGTAGCCCGTAGCTATAAATAAATACCCTTTTTAACTGCAGCATGCAATAAACTTCTTCTGTTTAATCTACTGATATTGTGTTGTCGGAAATTTACAATTTATGATTCACAAGTGTCAGTGTAGGGGTTTGACAATTCGCAAATAATAATAAGAAGGTCCTAATAGACAAGATGTGAAAAGTGCTTTAAATGTTGTAAGAAATTTTATTCAAAGACAAAACGCAAATGAAGAAGCATACAACTGTTTCACATCTTTACATAATATGATAGATAGAATGATACTGGACAACTTAAATCAAAAATGATAGACTTATTCCAATCATAGAAGCAATAGTTTATGTTATCCTTGAAAATGCGCTTTATACAGATTTACAGAATACAGATTTTTTGTTTTAACAAATATCATTGACAATAAAAGTAAACAACTCTTTTTAGTTTTAATGTATTTTATTGACAATAAAAGTAAACAAACTTTCTTTCAAAAACCCCATTCAAACAATATTTAGCATATTATATTGCTCCAAATGGCTTCACTATAGGAAGGTAATGTTTTAGAAAACTACATATTCATATGTATGCACAGTATTATTGTTGTTTGATAGAACGAGATCAGTTTATAAAGAGGTAATTAGTAATCAGTTTGTATTTATTATAAGAAAACAATTTTCACAAATACATTACAACCTCTTCGGGGTCATATATGCCCCAAACGACCTGATGAGAAAGTTATTGACAAGGTCTGTTATACCTTGTACAGCCATATTTGAAGTCTTATAAAAATTGATTCCAGGACCAAATAGACCTTGTCCCACAGGTAACAAGTTAAAAAAACGAAAGATAAGAATCTAGACCAGGATGCATCAGAGTTGGTAAATGTCCAAAGATGGAAAATACCCTCCACATATGGTCCATATAAGAATGAAAGAAATCAAAACGCCAAATAAGCTGAAATTTTAGTTAATTCATTCCCATTACAGATAGTAAATAACAGTTTAATTAATTGATTCCAGAGAAAAAATATCCAAACATCTATTATTTCTCCAAATCTCCAGAGTAGATCATAGCGAAATGTTGAAGATTTATAAACAAGTTAAAATTAGTCATATTTAAAATACAAGTTGTGGCTGATAAAATCTGTGAATAATAACTAAATGAGATATTCCATTCTAATCACTTATTTGTAGATACTTAATAAATTTATAACAGTGCTTTACTGTAATCAGGGCTATTATATATTTTATGACTAATTCATTCATTTTGTGATAAATTATTTAATTTCATTTTTGATTTCCACTAAGTTTCTCTGTTGAAGAAAACAGTTACTTCAAAATATTAATTTTTCTTTTGAAGCATTGATTTTAATGTTTCATCTAGTATTTGTTACTCTAACACTCATTATTACAAGCATAAAATAATAATAATAATAAATAAAATAAATAGTAAAAGACTGTTCACAAATTTGACATTTCTGTTTTTTATTAATTGAAAATTGTAAAAAGCTATTGATTGGTTCACTGGTCCAGCTAGCAATACATTATTTAAATTACTGTCTTTGATATTTTTAAAAATGTATTATGAACTTTATAATTATTAAAAAGTATTATGAAGCTAAAATACTTGATTGTAAGTTTATTATATACTTATCTGGTACTTGGAAACAAAAAAGTTAAATAATCTATAGAAATGACAAATAGGATTTCCCATTAAATATATAAACTTGTAATAACATAAACCTTTGTAAATTCGTTTCCCATACTCCTTGTTAGAGCAGTATCATGTTAAAAATCATGAATTTCACGAAAAACTAGCATTATTGCCAGTGCATATCTTCTGTTAAATTACAATGAGTAATTAAATCATTGTAAATATAAACTTTAAAGATTTATACTTCAAATATATCGCAACTATTTATTGATGAGTTTTAAATATATACTGTAAATAAGTTTAGTAATGAAAATGATATCTACTAAAAAAATTTTAGGCCCCCAGGCAGGTGGCATATTATGTTCTCTGATTATATACATTATTAATACTAACGCCTCTTTTTGCAATGAACAATCTACTACTCATAATCATTAGCGATAACATATTGTTATTTGATACCAACTATAATATGCAAAGATAAAAAATATTAAAAATACATACCTTTAGAGTCGCAATCTACACAATATTTATTATCTTCATCCCTTAACAGAGAGTTGAGAACTGATTGGCATTTATCTTGTAATTGCTTTACTTTATCTTTTTCTGGTTTGAGACTCATTTTTCCTTTTTAATTGTTTATAAACACATAAAAAAGTTCATAAATGACAACTCAGGGGTGGTTGCCATTCACAAACGTCACTGTCTGATATACGCATGCGTTGTCAATTCGATTTGATTACCGGCATTGGTGGGGATATTCGCAAAGTTCAAAATAATAGATCTTCAATAAAAAAATTGTTTTACTAAACCTAAGTAGAGAAAGGCCATCCGAAATCGAAAGTGAAAGAAGTACGAGGATAGATGATTGTCACTTTCACAGAGATATAAAATATTTTGTTTACACAGAAAAAAATGTCAAAGTAACCATATGTGACATAGTTGTCAAAAAACGTTGGTGAATGTTTACAAAATTTAAAAACTAACCTGAAAAAAAGCGAAACCAGCAAAACAAAACTATCAAAAATGAACCCTTTAACGTAAGTCAATTATCAATTATTTATTAAATGTAGTAATAAATATTGGTTTTTTAGGAATATGAAAAATGTTTTAAAACTAAGCGAGAATGAATTGGGAACGAAAAATAAGACTTCTTGGCATGATCAGTACAGGGATAGTGCATGGATATTTGTTGGGGGCCTACCATATGATTTAACGGAAGGAGATATTATTTGTATATTCTCACAGTAAGTTAATAGTCTTATCACCATAATACCTAGAATATTATAATACTGCTCATGGCATCATGATGTATTAGAAAGTTCCTAGTATATCCTCAAGGATACCAGATTACCAAGGACTTATTATTATTAAGATATTCAGAGTTTACTTCATGTATCAGTTTAAAATCCCATCAGATATATAAACTAAAAGAGTATATGATACAAATGTTTTGCAGCAGAAACATTAGGTGAAAAAGTTGTAATGTTCTGCAGTTTTATACACAATAGCAATGTTGCCTTATGCTTTGATAGATTTTTCACATTTTCTGCTTATTTTACTTTAAGTATAACATTTGTTTAAATATTCTTTGTTCTTTTTTTCAGATATGGGGAGATTGTAAATGTTAATCTTGTGCGAGATAAGGATACAGGAAAATCAAAAGGATTTTGTTTTTTATGTTATGAAGATCAAAGATCAACTGTATTGTCTGTTGATAATTTCAATGGTATCAAAATTTTGGGAAGAATTATAAGAGTAGATCATGTTTCTGACTACAAAGCCCCAAAAGAGGGTAAAAAAACTGATGAAGAAACAAAACAGTTGTATCAGGAGGGATGTGCTCCTAAAAGTGTAGTTCCCACTATTAATAAAAGCCCACCAAGAAATTTGAGAGAGACATTAGCTGACCAAATTGAGGCTGATATTAAGTTACCTCTGCGTTTACCAATATATCCGATTAAAAAAGAAGATGATAAATTGCCGAAAATTAAAAAGGAAAAAAATGATGAAGTATCAGAGAAAAAGAAACATAAATCGAAGAAGAAGAAGAGTAAAAATAGTAGTTCTGATGAAGAGGAAATGTCAAAAAAACATAAACATAAAAGAAAAAAGGAAGATAAACATGATTCAAGTAAACATAAAAAATATAAGCATAATAGTGATTCTAAACATAGAAGGTAAAAATAAAACAATTTATCAAGTAGCTATTTTATTTCTTTCAACATCCTGATTGCCTCATTCATATTTATCTAACTTATAATTATAAGAAAAATTAGATATGGGTGTACTTATTATTTTAGCACTACCTAAACATTCCCTATCTTTGGAAAAAACTGCATACTGTCCATTTGTCAAGGCTCTTTTTTCCTCGTACAATTTGACAGTTAATCCATGTGTGGTTTTACAAACTTGGCAGGGCTTCCAATGTTGTGTATGTTGAAATTTAAAATCACATTCTAAAATGTTGTTTACTTGCAGTTCAGGTGGTTCTGAATGGATCCAGTGAGGTACACCAGTGAAAAATAAGTCGCTGAGAAGCATGGGATGGTCAGTACCAGAAGCCTACAAAGATTATATTTTATTTTTTTAACGTCTTACAAAATTCTTATAAAATAGAGATTTTTGCTTACATCTAATTAAAAATGTATTTATATTAAGTTGATTTGTGTGCCACAATTTGATTTATTTTAGGAGAAACAGAAAGAAAAATATTACATACTAAAGTAAGCTTACTGTTAAGCTAGTTAGCATACAATAAAAATAAAAGCTGAAAATGAAAAAAAAATTAAAAACTATCTAAGCTAACTAGAGAAGAATGTTTCCAAAAAATTAACTAACCCAAAGCTAAAGCTATGGGCGATGTTGTGGAATGGATCTTGTATTTATGGTAAAGAGGCTCTGAACATAGAATAAAAGGAAATTTTCTGGGAATCAACCCATCAATCAAGAGAAATAAAAATTGTAAACTTGACCACTGAAAATAAGAAATTGATGTGTCCTATGGATTACTCGTGGTGCAACAAATGTACAAAACAACTAAGCTGTTAGAAGTATGCAGTAACACAATTTTCATGTACGTATATTTGATCTTGATCTCATATTAAAAAAAATTACCACATAAATAATATTTCTTTCAACATCCTTCCTAGCTATAAAGTAAGCTTCTGGTACACCTGAAATTCTTGATCTTTGGCCCAAAGTCCATTGGTGAATGCCATTGTGATGTCCAACTATTTGTCCTGTATCTATGTCCACAAAATTTCCTGATTTATCTGAAATATACTACAAATTATAAAATACAATATATTATATTTGTACAGACTCTTTTATTAATGTTTTTAAATCAGTTTATCTATTTTTTTAATTCTAAAATTAGAATTAATAGAATAGAAAGTAAGGTCAACTTTACACTACATGATTTATTATATGAGATTGGTTATGATTCCTCGTTTTTATGATGTTCTAAAAAATCATGTTTACACTGAATGATAATTGTATTATGAGTGCATGAGTTATGTTGCCGTTCTTTTTGTTATGGCATATAGTTGATAGTAGGTAAACTAACTTTATAACTTCAATGGAAAAGGTTTTCTTGCATGGCTTCCACTTTATAATACAACGCACAACTGCATACGCTTGTAAAAAAAAGTCAATCTGTGCTCGCAGTGGCTCTTATGAGAATAGTGGACAGGGTATATCAAATTAGTGTCAAGAAGACTATAAAACACTAAACTAAGAATAAAATAAACTAAATATATTAAAAATGTGACACAATAGCGCAGATTTGATAATAGGCTCTATCACATCATGAATCATGTAGTGTAAAGTCAACTTAATATAACCTCATTATGTCATATACTTACTTCTCTAATAAAATCTTGAAAGTTTCTAGATCCTATGAAACAAATCCCCATACTCTCTGGTTTTAAAGCTATCCTTTCCAAGTTATTTTCTGCTGCCATGTGCTTCACTTCAAATTTAGAAAAATTCCCCAATGGAAACATTGTTTTTCTTAATGTATCTTGTCTTATTTGGCAAAGAAAAAAGGTTTGGTCCTTTCTGACATCTTTAGCCAACAACAGCTTTATGGCTAAAATAACATAATAATCATATAGTGCTAGTCAAAAGTACTTTCCCCCCCTTATCTTTTGAATGGTTATTGTTATAATAGTGAAATTTGGAGGGAGGTAATAAACAGATGTAGGTCATAACAGGTGAAGTAATAGTGACATATGAAGTTATAGCGCTAAATATACATTACTTACTGTAACAAATAATTTTAAATGGGACCTCATGGCAAGTGATACCCCATTTGAAAATACCTAGTCAGTCATAATAATTGCCCTAAATTCTTCAATAATTCATTGCTTCAAAATGTCAATATTGTCGTGTGCTATAAGGTAAACTTTAAATTTCAAGTATCCCCACACAAAAATGGTGCACAATTTTTAATTTGTATGGATGAAATTTGCTTTCAGCCAACACTCGATGTACTATCTTTTGACTGATTCCATAGATAGATGCAACTTGGGCTGTAGAAGAAGTAGGGTTCACTACCATTTCTGAAATTGTCAATTTGTCATCACTAATTGTTGGTTGACCAGATCATTTGACATCTTGAACACTACATGTTTGTTTAAACTTCCGAATAAGCTTCCTCAAATAGAATCTTAATGTAGGGCGATCAGGGTACCTCTCATTAAAAAGATTTCTGTTGCATGGAAATTATTTCCACATTCACCAATTATTAACACAGCTGCTACTTTGTTTTCTACAGTATGTACCATTCTGCCTTTGTAAACTTTTAACTGTCTCGTTAAACAATAATTAAACTAAATATTAAATAAGAACAACTAACTAAAAACAACTTGACTAAACTAAACAGAAACTAAATATTCAGGTATAAATGCGTTTACAAACTAAAAATTTCTATAGAATTGACTTAACTAAGCAGAAACTAAATATTGAGCTATAAACGCTTTTGCAAAACTAAAAACATCTAGAAAATTGACAAATGTTAACTGTTTTGACAAATAATCAAAAGTGAATGTTTAAAACCTTTCAGAAGATACGAGGGGGGGAACAGACTTATGACTAGCACTGTATACTGTATATATCAATATAATAATAATACTCTTGGGTTTGCAAAAAATCAATACATCATATCTTTTGACTTAAGTGGTCTATAAATTGTAATGCAATATTTTAAGAATAGTATATTGAGTCTGTTCTGATTGCACTAATCATGTAGTCAATTTAAATCATCTAGCAGCAAAGCTGATCCATTACATCATCCAAAACCCTCCATAATTTTAGATCATCAGCCAATATTAAGCATTTATAGTAACATCATTAATAGAGATGTATGACCATCCTGAGGGACACCAGAGCTTACTTTCATGAAGTTGGATAGATAATTATCGAAAAAACTTTTACATTGAAGTGAACATTTCTATTGTAATAGGGATATATTTAATTAAAAATTAAGTCATAAAATCCAAATTAATTACAATAGTTGATTTTTGTTCAAAACAAATGTTTTGGGACTAATCAGACCATCTTCAGTGACCTTTGCTTAGTACTTGCTATTTAACCTTATCACCAAGCAGATGGTTTAATACTGCTTGTTTTAAGCAGATGCTTAAAACCAAGCAGTTTAAAATTAATATTACATACTTAAAAGTATTAAAATAAACAACATAATGCTGATAATTACAGATTTAACTATTTGGGAACAATATGTGCCTACTTGAAATAGCACACACATGAAACCTACTTTCCATGCCTTTAAATTTACCTTTATCTGGTTCATATTTTTCAAGGTAAGGTCCAAAACTAGTGTTTGCATAATGACCAGTTGCTATGGCATCAGCACCTAAATTTTCTGTGGCATACTTATAAAAGTAATTGAATTTTACATTTCTGTTACACAATACATCAGGGTTTGGAGTAGCTCCCATTTCATATTCTTTCACCAACTGACTAAAAATATAGGGTTGTTTCAAAATAAAGTTATGTTTATAAATGAATTTTTGTTATGTGTAAAAATAAGTTTTCTACTCTCTTAATTATTCTAGTATATCTTGTTATCCAATTGTTTATAATTAAGTTCATATTATATGTAGAGTGCCTGAAACTGCGTATTGCCCTAGTTTACCAAATAGTCTACCTCTACATCCATATTCCAAGGATACTGAATAATAAGGTAAGTAAGCAGCAAGTAAGGGTTATACATATTATAAGAATGATTGCAATTTGACTTACCAAAACACTTCATTCCAATATTGTTTAACAAAATTAACATGATGTAACTTAATTCCTAATTTATCACATACAAATTGGGCGTCTTTATAATCTTCTTCGCTACTGCAAACTCCCTTTTCATCTCGTATATCCCAATTTTGCATAAACACGCCAGAGACATTAAACCCTAAAAATCATTGCCCAATTATTTTATAAACCTTTTTCTTACATATTTAGTTCATATTTTACCTTGTCTCTTTAACAGTAACGCGGCTATTGCACTATCTACACCTCCTGATATTCCAACTGCAACTTTTTTGAACATTTTTTTATTATTTAAAAATTCAAAAAGTATATTAAATTAGGTTATATAAATATTATGTATGACAAGAAAGAGAAGAGGAGCAAGAGTTCCATAACAATGAATGGAAAAAGAAGATGAGACCTTTTTTTTGAAATTCTTCTAAAAAGGTCTTCATAATGTGTTCTGTGTTAAGCAAATTGAATATTTGACCAGTAAGTAGATTACAAGAAGAATTTGACATTCGAAATAGTGGTGTTCATTGTTGATCCACAAAGATGAGTGAAAGAAGAAGAGCAGAACAAGAAGTAAGTTTATTTGAGGTTATTGTTCTTCTTCAAAGGCCTTCATAATCCGTTCTGTGAATATATTAAAAGAAGAATTTGAAATTTGACATTCGGAGTAGTGGTGTGTGTTACATTTAGCGCGCTTATTTTTTATGTTTGTAAACTCGTCCTTAAATAGAAATTTAGATAATAATGGGGGTATGTATTTTTGTATATTATAGTTTTTATAAAATAAGGCAATTGCATTAACCTAATCATTTTACAGAGAAAAACAGCTGCGAGCAGTGCAAAGAGTAAAGAAAAACGTTTGCAAAGGAAAGAGGAACAAAGCAGGATAAGTCAAGCTATGACTATTGTTGCAAATGCTAATAAATTGGATGACCCTTTAGACCCTTTTCCGGTCTTCCGAAAATTCAATAAAAATGGTATAGAAGCTGAACTTTTTGTAAAAAAGTCTGCTGACTTAGATCAAAATGTTAAAGACTGGGCTTTTAACTTGACTAAAAAGAACATGCAGCTGAAGTAAGTTTTGGGTAGTTTTAGAACTCATGTCATTAACTTTGTTTTATATAGCATGTTTACTATTGTACATATGGTTTGTTTCTTTTGTATAGTTTAGGTAATAATTAACTTTGTAATAAGGGCATAAAACAAAAGACTATAAGCAATAAACCACATCAAACAAAGACTTATCAAAACTTTAAAAAGTTGTTTAAACAATAGAAGCTGAAATTCCTAGGTACTTGTTTTTGTAAATAATGAACATATGTTTAATATGCTATTGTTTTCTCTAAATAGGAAAATAATTATAAACAATTAGAGCTAAGGCAGTACTAATTACATCATGTACTCTACATTAAATTAAATGAGTCAAGCAGCAGAGCTTCATTTAGTGGATAGATTCATATTCTAGATTACAAAAAAAACACTGACTTAAAACTATTAATATTTAACCTCTTCAAATAAAGAATCAATATTGATTGCCAAATGCCCAAGGTAAAATTACATTTTGAATGTGTATTTTATTATTTTCTATTTTTTATGCTTTATTATTTTCAGGTATGAACAATGTACATGGGGTTGGAGTGATAGTAAAAAAATTGAAGAACTAACAGATGAAGCAGCATGGTATCTTGTAGCCAAAGCTTCAGATGGTACTTTGCTTGGATTTTCTCATTTTAGATTTGATATGGACGAAGGAATTGAAGTACTCTATTGGTAAGAACAAGCATTATGAATATTAGGTATTTTAACAATTATCAATTTATTACAGACTAATTGTCTGAATTAGTTTGCCTGTTGCCTCTACTCTCTTTGGATCACTCAAGCTATATACATACATATTATTTATATATACATACATATATATGGATATAACAGAAGAATGGGTACAAATAATAAAATGGTACTTTCAGTACAAGAAACTATCAATTTATGTATTTTGACTTTTGAAAATATGCCAATACATATAGAAAAACTGTATTAGCCGTTATTCAACAATTTGATAAGCTTGGCTGTACTAATGGCAGATGTAAAAAATGCTGCCCATCAGATCAACCTCATGAAAAGAAAATTTCTCAAGAACAAGAAATTAGAGAAATTTAAGTGTGTGCATTGGATAAAGCGATGCTTTATTAAAGTAAACAAATTACTCATGAAGTTGATTTGAATGTAAAAACAGTGAGGAATATTTTGAAAAGAAACAACTACCATTGTTATAAAGTGCAGACAACTCAAGAAATATGTCCTGATGATAAATTTAAATGGATGCAATTTTGTGAAATTATGATGGAGAGATACCTTGCGAATAATAAATGTTTAAAAAATATTTTGTTTACAGATGAGTCCTCCTTCACAATTCACAAGAAACATAATCCATCTGTTGTACATTATTGGTCTCAGGAGTATAAGCATTTGAGTGTGTCTGTGACACGCTCAAATGCTTATACTCCTGTAATTTTGGGAGACCATATTATTGGTCCTTTTTTCATTGCAGGCAATTTAAATGCAGGCAAATATCTCCAATTACTGCAAAATCAAATTATTCCTGTTAACCCCCTCTGTGGCTCAGTGGTAAGAGCGCCTACCTTTAAACCTAAAGGTCGTGAGTTCGAATCCCATCTGGGTAGAGAAATTTTCGTTTATTAAAAATTAATGAATGAAAATAGTTTCTATCCATGTGCGATCGGTACTCACCGGAGGAACCGCAGACTTTCGGATACAATTAGCGTCTCTTAGCAAAGACAATGACGTAGACTTTGCTAAGTATCAAGACAATTACTCTACACATACACACACACTACACTAGGTACCTGACTGTACCATGCCAATGATCATAGTTGTCGAGGCATTAACTAAAAAAAAAAAAAATTATTCCTGTACTTCAATGTCTTCAAATTAACTTGAAATTTGGTTTTAACAAGACAGCTGTCCTGCACATAATGCAAAAGCCGTTAGAGACTATTTAGCGTTAATTTTTGCTGAACTTGTCATTAGTACAGATGGTCCAATAAAATGGTCAATAAAGTCGGTCACCCGACTTAGCTCCTCTAGATTTTAATTTTTGGGGATGCTAAAAACAAAATTGTACAGGCATGAGTTTGAGGGAGCCACCAATCTTCTCCAGGTTCTCACATCTAGAACATTTTGCGTGTTTGCTTCATCCTCCCACTGTTTTTGTGGTCTTGCGCATTTTAATATCTAGGGCTCTTTTTGACAATCTTTTGTCTCTATTATCACTATATGACCCATCAAAGTCTCTGAAATTTAATGAATTCTGAGATTAGTGTCTCTTTGAACAGTTGGTAAAATTCATGGTTGTACCTGGATCTCCATACTCTGTTTTCGTTAATAGGTCCAAATATCTTCCTTAGGAATTTTCGTTTGAAGACTTCCAGCTTTCATTTTGTGTCTTCTGTCATCATCTCCGCCTCGCATCCATCACATGTAGGTTTAATAGATGTGACTTTTGTCACACTTACAAACTAAGAAAATGGCATGTCATCTATTTGTTTCTTGTCTATGACAGCTCTTCTTAAGAGTAGATTTCTGTCAACTTGAATTAATATTACAAAAGAATATTAACCACATATTGAGTAGAAGACACATTTCATTAAAAATGTCAGACAAATCATCTATTGTTATATATTTTATTACTATAGAAATAATGTTTAGAAATGTATAGGTAACTTATGATATCATAATGTTTAGAAGTACAGTAAAACCTCCCTTAACCGAAACATTGTTTAACCGAAATGGCTGACAGTTTCAATAATTTCTTCAATAACAAGTAAATTTTTATTGTAAAATGTGTACAATTCCATTAATTTCACTCAACGATTAAATACCTATGTGTGTTGGGAAATCAAAAAGATCAATAGCTCTGAAAGATATTTGAGAAAAAGCACTTTCAGTTTTTATAGAAGCCAAAAAAGCTCATGGATGTCGACCACTTTGTTTTCAGAATGGTGCGAAAATTAATTTGTCCCAAGTGTAAAATACTTTTTAAAATAAAAAAACCTTCCCATCAAAGCATTGTTGCTTGTTGACAATGCGCCAACTCACCCTCAAAATCTACACAATAGTGATAATTGTTAGATTTTTGTCACCAAATGTCACTAGCTAAATTCAGCTGTTAGACCAGGAAGTAATAGAGACATTCACATTATAGAGGAGCATTCTTAAGACATCTGTTATTACACGAGACAAATGAATCCAAAAGTGTTCCCGAAATCCTCAAATGTTCAACAATGAAACATGTTGTTTATCGGTGTGCTGAGTTCTGGGCCAAGATCAAATCTTCAAGTTTGGAAAAATGATGGAACTAATTTTTTGATAGGATTTTGATTGACGATCCTGAAGAAGAAAATGGTAAAGAAACGTCAGAAAAAATTAAACCTTTAATAAAAAATTTGCCGGAATGTGACGAAATTAACTAGAAGAGATACGTGAGTGGTTAGCAGCCGATGACTCAGAAAGTGAATTCATCGACCAGGACATCATTGATATGGTTCTTCATCCAGACTACCTGAGCGTATCAGACGACAAAATGACGACCCAACAGACAACAGGCAGCATGAGATCGCTGACGAGATTTTCAATGCCTTAAGGATAAGAATTTTATACAGTAGGCCTAATTAGTTAGGGCCACGACTAGGTTCTTAATTTTTGTTGTCATTGTATAAAAAAAATTTTTGTCCTTTTCAGATTGCTTTACGTTTCGTCGAACGATGGAATGAGGCAAACTCACGACGTTCTGCAAATGAACGATGGAGATATATACGTAGGTGCAAAACATCGTTGTCAAACGATAACGCACAAGAAAATAGAAGATTTCTTTAAAAAACCATGTTAAATGTGTTCATTTTCCTTAATTTTATTACTTTATTCTGTATTTACTTATTAGAAAACATTACGAAATTACCTTATAGTATTTATTAATACCAATACTATAGAAAACAATGATATTTTTAACCGAAATTCTTGTTATCCGAAAGGGCCTCTTCCCCAATTATTTCGGTTAACGGTTTTACTGTACTACTTTTGTAAAAAAAATAATACAAATATTGTTTCTTAATACAAATATATTAATTTTAGTTATGAACTGCAGCTTGATTCATCTTTTCAAAGGAAAGGCCTAGGAAAGTTTATGATGCAAGTACTAGAATTAATAGCATTTAAGAACTACATGAAAAAGGTTGTGCTTACAAGTTTGAAGAATAATCAATATTCAAAGTTCTTTAAAGCACTTAATTATGAATTAGACGAATCATCTCCATTAGATGATGAAGAAGATTCTTATCCATATGAAATCTTGAGCAAAGTAAATAAACTACTAGCTCCTCATATGTCTCCAATGAAGGTGAACTCGAATCACTGTTGCTCAGGCCATGATCATCATCACTGAACCTAAAAAATCTCAACTTCCAATTTTTGTACATTTTAAATTAATTTTTTTAGTATTGACTCATTTTAAAAAATAAATAGGCTTTTAAATTATAGTGTTTATTTTTATGAGTTTGTTTTGCCAAATTATGTTTATTTTTATTTTAATAAGAGAATAACTAAAATACAATTATTTTACATATATAATCACTAGAAATGCATATATTACAAGCCCAAAGCAAAGATAAAGGCATAGAAGAATTCATGTAAAAATTGAGAAAATATAGAATATTAATAAAAACTATTAATTAAACAAAATACTTATTACAATACGAAATAATGATGCCGGTGCAAACAATTGTCAAGATGTGAAGAGCCGATCGGTAGCGCAATCAAAAAAGAAAAATTCAACTTTATACCAAAAAAAAAAAGAAATGGTTGTTACGGCCCCAACATATCTCTTCATTGACATAACATAATACAGCCCTGCAATATATTTACTAACCACAAAACTTTTTTAAACGTCTTGAATATAAATTGTTATTACCTCATAAATCAGATCCTTTTGTATATATCCTATACATAATACCTGAGGCGCCATTAAAACTAAGTTAAACCTACTTTTATGGTCATAAAAAACAATTTGACCTGAACCTTATTATACACCTGCATTTTTTTATAGTTTTATGCCGGCTCCACGCATGGGGACCAACGTTGGCCCCCAACAGTGTGTAATCCTCCAATGTGTGTACTGACAAAACTGTGTTGGCGCCAACGTTTTTTTTTTACTTACTCCAAGGTTGGAACTTTTCCGTGGACTGTCGGTTTTTGTGTACACATCAAAGGGATTGACGCCAATACTGGTGTTGTCGTTGATGATGACCACACATTGGCGCTACAGCGGTGTTCTAATCGGCATATAATTATCAGGGGCGGCTGGTCCTATGAGGCAGGTGAGGCAGTGCCTCACCAGTATTAATCGACTATTTACGTTCTTTAACTACAATTTAACTTTTTGGAATTTTCTAAATAACTTTATTTTCATTATGATAAAAAATTAAAATAGGTACACCCTGATGTCTTATCTTTGTATATTTCTTCATAATCTACGGGCCGGACAACCTTAAACCACAAAACATTAAATAAACAACGGCGCCTATCATCTGTGCATCTTATTCTCTCTTTAAAAATTATAGCCGAGGCAAGCCTCACGGCATTGCTCTGTCTAGCATATTACACATCACATTATGTAGCGAAATTCAACATGATTTATTTATTTCTGCCCACTATTTCACCGAACAGGAGAGGCAAGCCTCTCTGGTTTGGTGTAGTTCTTTTAATTAGCAGCGTTGCCGTTTTGGTACAAAGGTACCCAATCCGCTACATTTTTTCCCTCGGGGTATAAAAGTACATTTTAAATAAAACATAGATTTTTATTTGAAAATTGTAACAACATTGGAGTATTTTCCTTTAGTAGATGGTACTATACATATTGTTCTATTGTTTTCCGATTTAACAAACAATATTTTTTTTCTATGCATTTACCAGATTAGCAACTTTGGTACATTTTGGAACATTTCTGCAAAATTGTTGTAGTAAATAGTAGTTAAATTACTTCCTGTTGACCTGTTGGTGCGGCAGGATCACGTTTGACGTATCTCGTGTTGTTTTTCATTAAAAAAACAGTAAGATTACATGTTATATAATAAGTGCAAATCTAATTAAGTTTTTTTAATAATTTTGGTGGGTTTGTTTTTGTCTGCAGGATTTTCGGTTTTAGTGAAAAATGGATTTAGCACCGAGCACTTCGTCACAACTTTCCCAGGTAAATGTAAATATTCGTAATACTTGTAATCTCGTAAATTTTTTAGTCAAACAGCAGAATTTTTCAAGTCATTCATATGAAGATAAATCGGGGATTTCAAAATGCATGGTACGAAAAGTTTGACTGGCTTACGGGTAGTATAACATTAAATAAATTGTTTTGTTGGCCATGCATTTTATTTGCCACAGCTAATACTAGCGACAAAGTTTGGTTCAAAAATGGTTATACTGATTTGAAAAATTTGTCTCGGAGTCTATTGTTACACAATAAAAGTTCTCAACATATTACATCGAATTGCAAGCTTACTCTTATGAGAAAACAAAAGCAAAATATCGCTACAGCACTAGACAATTTGCGTAAAATAGATATTGAAAATTTCAATGCTAGGGTTAAAGAAAATCGGCAAATTTTAAAAAGACTTACAGATATTACTTCACACCTCTGTATGCAAGAGTTACCCTTTAGGGGGCATGATGAATCTAATGAATCTTTAAATTGCGGGAATTTCAAAGAGCTAGTTGTTCTTGTTAGTAAATTTGACACTAATTTAAAAACATTTTTAGAACATGATAATGACTCTAGATCAGTTTTTTCTGGGACATCTAAAACCATACAAAATGAATTAATCAATTCAATTGCTTTTGTTATAAATAAAAAATTGAGGAAGAAATTTCAAAATCATTATTCTTTTCCTGGCAGGTGGATGACACTACTGATATAAGCTGCCATTCACAACTATCCGTTATTTTTCGTTACGTAATAAACAATAAACCAGTCGAACGATTCATAGGATTTTACGATGTAAGTTCCGGGCGTTCTGCTCAAGATTTATTTGAATTTTTATCTACCAAATTTACTAACAAATCTCCCAGATAAAAAATACCTACTAACCCCCAAAAAAATATAAAAATCCCAAAAAAATTAATAAAAAATATATGAATTCAAAAAAATATATAAAATAATAAAAAATTCACAAAAAAATTATAAAAATACAAAAAGGCCACGGGAGAGGCCACCTAGATCCTTGAGGCTACAACTTGGCCGCTAACCAAGGTGCAGGTTCGAGGATTACAGCTCCCTCGTTTTTCGTTCGCTTTTATCTCACGATATGAGATTTCATGATAAACGGTAGTAAGTCGCTTAACGACACCTTGGGTATGATTTAAGTTACATTTATGAGCACCCTATTACACATGGTGCTCATAAATACAGCTCAATCGCGGACTTTTTCAAAAAGCAGTCAGCCCTTATGTTGCACCTTCAGTGCACATAAGGGAGGGTGGAGGAGGGCTTAGGAGAGCTTTGAGGTGAGGATGACTTTTGTTGATCCGCGCGCGTATCGTCAGAAGTCCTTCTCACGCCAAGTCATTGTTTGCTGACGCGAGCAATGCCTCCTTAGCCGGGTATGACTGGAGCAAAGAGAAGCTAACCATAATAATAATAATTTTCCTTAAGTGTAGTGTGCCTCACCAGCTTGTACTATCACGAGCCGCCCCTGATAATTATGCTATTTGCGCATAATTTAGTTGTTGGCGCGTAATTTTCGCATCCTGTATAAAATTAGGTACCTAATTTTGCACAATCTAGCCAAGCAAAAGAAAATAAACTAACGACAAGCCACAGTTTATAAAAAGAGTCCTCGTTTTTCTTTTTTCATTTAAAACATTTGTGCTGCTATTTTACACAGCATTCTTTTTAGAAAATAAAAATTACTTTATCGAAGAAAATTTCCATTCCATGACAGCATTAAAAAACAAAAATAAAGAGTATAAATACAAAACCAGAAATTTGACCTAGTTGTTTTGAGTAAATCGCAAAAAACCTACCAAAATCTTAATTTGACACTAATGAACATTGTGCATTAACCAAAAATTTTTATTTTTTATAAATATAGTTACTACTAATCAAAACATAAATTAGCCTTGTTCGTAAAAAGATATTTTGGTTTAAAAATCAGACATGTCTTGTTTTGCATGTAAGAGTTGCACATGTCTGCTTATGCATCTAAATGAACCTAGATTTGAAACAATTAAACACTTTGACCCTCGCTTACTCAGAAACAATCTCTTTTTTTAATTAAACTTTTAATCAGCATGACCAAAGCTACCTCCCTGGAAAGTTTCCACTGAAAACACTTTTATATAAGAAAAGTGCTGGAATCTTTTCTGAAATATAAAATATATTACAATAAAAATTTCAGAATCATTATTTGTTAAGTTGGCAACTGTTACCATGTATCAAAATCAAAACTTTATTTTCCAATATAAAAGAGGATGCAAGAGATTTAATGAATGAGGCACATATGATTAAACCATGGTTATTAGTATTAGAAAAAATATTTATTCTTTATTTGATTGTTTAAATATGAAACCTTAAGTTGTTGCTGGAGCTTGAAAACATTTTATATCAACACCTAATCTCTTTTCTCTATATTGAATAGTTCTATACTCCTATATTAAAAATAATCCAAATACTATTAAAATTTAGACCTGTTTGATGCATTCAAAGTTATGTCAAGGGATGATAATAATCAAGAAACATATTAATTGTTAAATATTTATTTATATTTATAATTAAAAGTAATACTATTTATATCCTAATAAGTTACAAAGGCCCACCATTGTTAATTACGGCTATTTCGCTGTCATCGATAGCTTTTCTTCTAAATCGAGGGGGTAATTCGAAATCCCAAAGTACTGCTCCCTGTCCCTGTGCTTGCTGACCCCCTTGGATTCCACTTTTGGAAGCTGCTGCCGGTTGGGCCTGCTGGGTTTTAGCAAGTCCATATCTAAATTTAATCAACCGATGTGACATTCGCGGAGTAAATGATACAGACCGCGTTGCTATATAATTAAGCATGATTTTTATCTTCACGTTTGCCTAAAATTTTATAAATATAATTAAATTTTTTAAATTGTTTTTATTATGTCACACCTACCCTACCAACCACCTTTAATTACTGTCACATTACTGTCAATAAGTTTTTCTTCTTTTTTAATGAAATTTTTGGGTTTATCTGGCTGATAAACTTAATTGATCAAGGCATTTGATGAGTTTTTAACTTTGCTAACCTATAAACTAAACGTAAACATCAAAATAGATTTTAAACTTATTTAAAAAAAATGGAATCTGAAGAACATACAATGGCATTAAAAGGTATAACATAACGTTAGTGTGTAACTGTTATAAATTTGTTTGCATTTTAGTGATGAGGCTAACTAGACCTACCTTAGCAAGTCCCCTTCCCATTACTTGTGATAGTAAAGATTTGCCAGGTAATTTACTAAATAACGCCTTGCAGCAAGATCCTACTTCTGTAGAAGGCACTGAAACCTTATCTGTAGGACAATTTTTGCTTTTACCACAGACTCCAGTTAATATATATTTAGGGGAAACTTTCTCCAGTTATATCTGTGTTTATAGTGAATCTAAAGAAACTGTTAAAAATGTTAATGTTAAAGTGAGTATACCTACATTGGGTAAAGATTATTGAGAATATTAGCATGTTCTTTTTATTGCATTTTTAAAAGCTTGTCTTGTAGGTTGATTTGCAAACAAGTGCCCAAAGATTATCATTGTCTTCGAATCCAACTACAGATCAACTTCCTCCTGATAAAACAATTGATATTGTTATACATCATGAAGTAAAAGAAATAGGAACACATATGTAAGTAACTTTTATTTATTAGTAAATAAAAGCTAAAAAATAAAACTGTTCAAAAGCTTCTATTGTTGCTACTCAAGATCCACTTAAAGAACATATCTCTGAACCAGTAACTCAGGTGGGAGTTTATATTGTCATGAAATGAATCTGGTTTAATTTTAAACATCCTATAAAATTAGCAGCAATCATGTAATTTACTATCAATTTAATACCATCTAATAAAAAACCAAAGGATTTTCACCCATGTATTTAGTGGCTTCAAACATGTATACCTTTGTAGCAGCACTGAAAATGGAATATTTATTCCGAAAATGTTCTGGACTTTTTCTTCTATTATTTGTTACATAGTTTTCCTGTAATTATTTTTCAAACTCTTCCCACACTTTTGCTTTTACTTGTCTTGCTATGGTTTTTACTGATTGTCCCTATATTATATATTCTGCTTTGTATTTTTCTAATCTGGTTTCAGTCTATTTTTCCATGACAGTTTCCTCTTTAGTTCTATCTTCACTTGTTCTTACACCACTTTGTCCTTTTATATTATTTATTAGCTGTCTTGATTCCACATAAACATATTGCTGTTTTCTGTAATACTCTATTGAAGTAATTCCATCTTTCTTCTAATATTTTTAGACTTTTATTTGACTTATACTCTTACTACTTATCACCTTAGATATAGTTCTTCTCTATTAATAGGTTGTTTATCTTTCTTTGTTGTATTTCTTCCACATGTTTTCCTATGCTTCCTAATTGTCTGTTGATTCCACAGTTGTATTTCAATATATTCAAATTATTGCTTTATCTTTGTTTCTTGCATTTTGTTTAATGCATTTTGGAGTTCTGTGTGAAATTCTGTAATGGACTCTTCATCTTTTGCTTGTGTTGGTACATTTGTAGACATCTATTTTGTTATTTAAATATATTTCAACTGTATTAATTCTGAATTTTACTGTTTTTGTGTGTTATAATTTCGTTGTCTCAAAATTTAATTTTGAAAGTGCTGATCAAATTTTATACACAATAAAAAAATTTTACGTCCACATATGTCTCAAAACATATTTGGCGAGGATTTTCAGTGATATATTTGATTTTGTCTTTTAGACATTATTTTACACAGATGTTATATTCATGTTATACAAATATGAGTATATGCAAATGTTTTTTGAGGTTCTAATCCATGTCTTAGTTTACTAAAATATCTGAATACCTGTTATATTTTAATAAAATCAATTAATAAATATTGATATACATACATATATTTTTCAAGTATCCTAACTATAATATGTTTGTCTTTAGTTTAATATGTGAAGTTACATATCAACCATCAGATGGTGCGCCCATGTCATTTAGAAAATTTTTCAAAATTATGGTTTTAAAGCCATTAGATGTTAAGACCAAATTCTATAATGCTGAAAATGACGATGTATATTTAGAAGCACAAGTACAAAATATAACAGCTGGTCCTATATGTTTAGAAAAAGTTGCTCTAGATGCTTCACATTTATTTAATGGTAAGTTTTCAGAATGTAAGATTTAGTGAGGTTTGCTTTTTTGATACTATCCTAGTAGTTCTAGATATATCATACCCTTTAAAAATTTTATCATAAAATTGGAGTGCATGTAGAATGTTATTACAAATTAAAAATTATAGTTTAATTACATATTGGTTTAATGTTTTTTGTATTAATGTGACATCTGATCATTTGTGTCTGTATTAAACAAATCATTGTACATAAATCTTACTTCGTTTCTGACTGTATTGACTAATCCTAAAGCAAAATAAAATCTGCATCAGTATATTGATTTTCGTCTTAGATATAAAATATTATGTTTATTGACATAATACTTCGTCCAATGGCACTACAGCCTAAATTGTGCTTTGATATCTTGTATTAGGTAAGGCAAGTTAAGTCCCACAGCACTTAGGCCACAGTTGACCCATTATGCATCCTCCCATGAAGCTGTTCCTTAGCTCATTTTCCGTCCAGCCATTTGTAGGCGGATAGACATAGACATAGTCACAAGGGTACATCTCCTTATGTTGGCAGGTGTGAGCCAGGGCTCCGCTGAACATACACTCTCATATCAATGACAACTCTGGGCATTCACAAAGGACACATGTTTCGTCTTCTGGTTCACACTTCCTGCATAGAGAACTACTATTCTACTAAGAGATTCTACTAGCCCCAGTGTGTGGAGGTGTTTGCTTAATTGACAATAACCAATTAAAACCCACTGTCAAGATAAGCTCAAAACTAGGTTTTTCCTGGTCATTCCCAAGTACTTCTTTGATGCTGAGTTTTCAAGGTTACTTACTGTTACCTTGGCAAGTCTACATCCTTGCAGTTCTTCCCATCTTTTCACGGTTTGCGTGGGGGAGTGATATTTGACAATTTCCGCGATTGTTGTAGTTGACCAACTAACAAGATCCCCAGGGCCAAGGGCTAAGACTCCTAGTTGGTCTTAGCCGAGCGAATATGTGTCTCACATATCCATCTATTAAACACTTATTTTAACTGTATGTACTGGTAATATTATTAAATAATAAAAACCTAATTCAAAATTAATAACAAATATTTATTTTAAACTCCCATATTTTCAGTGGTTTCATTAAATTCAAATACAAAAGGTGACAGTATATTTGGCAAAATGACTATTCTTCAACCTCAAGCTATTTGCCAATTCCTTTATTGTTTAGTGCCTAACGAAAAATTATCGTCAGATTTAAAATCATTAAGTGGAGCAACAAATATCGGTAAATTGGATATTGTCTGGAGATCCAATTTGGGTGAAAGGGGAAGATTGCAAACTAGTCAACTTCAAAGGATGGTAAGTGGTTTATTGTTTAAAAAAAGGATAATACTTTTTCTCTATATGTAGTGATATTTACCTTCATCATGTATTGTATAACGCTTTACTCTTCGGACGAACTACCTAGATCACATTAATATTCTAGCCTATTAAAAGTTGAATAAACTCGGTTTCATCGTTCTTGGCGTGTGCCTGAAATAAGCTACTACGGAATTTTTAATATTCGTCTCTCTCTGATACACAGATGCGTAATTCAATTGTGCGAGTCACGTTCGTCATGGTAAAGTGCGATGAGAAGGGAATGAAGAGACCACTCACGTCTCCCAGTATTGTAGCAATAACACCGATGCGTTTGGCCGATACGGTGTCGGTGATAAGTTTGGCCTCTTTACAAATACAAATAGCTGCCACTGGAGGAGGTCAACGAATCGAGTTTAGACAAGGAAAGACAGATGAAACAACTTATTGCAAGTGTTTTTACACGCACACGCCAAGAACGATGAAAACGTCTATATACATAGTTATAGAACAATTTTCGTAGTCATTTAAGAAATAACTGTTTAAGAATGAAAATGTTCATGGAGATCAAACATTGATGTTGATGTTACAGTTAGGAATTTGTTATAGAAATATTGTGTTGTTTTATCAGTCATCCGTGCAATTTTTAAATATTAATATGTAAAGGACCATCGAGTTAGAATCTAGATTCTTACTCGATGTAAAAGACTTACTCGACTTACTCACATTTGGCTTTATTATAACCAACTCCTTTTCTTTCACCTATTGAAAATGGACTCATATTTGCAAACAATTCATAATTTTAAATATTTAATTGAATTCATCATTTTTAATATTTAAACATGTATTTTTATAGAGTCCTGAATATGGAGATATAAGAATGACAATAGTAGAACTGCCAAATTTTGTTACTTTAGAGGAACTTTTTACTTTTAAATGCAAACTTATTAATAATTGGTAAGTACTGCGAATATTTTTGTAATGTTTTATTCATGCGTTGTATATTTTTTAGTGAGCGGACAGTTGAGCTTATTATTTATTTAGAAAACGTAGAAGGTATTGGGTGGTGTGATATTTCTGGAAGACAATTAGAACCTCTGCTTCCACATTCTCATACCGTTTTAGAATTCAGATGCATTCCATTGCTCCCAGGACTGAGAACACTTTCGGGAATAAAATTACTGGATACGTTCCTAAAACGTACATATACCTATGATGAATTAGGTCAGATTTTTGTTGTGGCCGATCATAATACAAAACAGACATAATAAAGTGGTTAAACTATGTATGTATATATCGATATTAAAATTGTTTTGTTGAGTTATCAGTTTAAAATGTTTAAAGTTTTTGAGATTTGAAAACTTTGAACATTACATATCTTACATTACGATAAAATTATGAGTTGTATCTTCTCCAGTATCCGTATTTAGAGATATACAGTATTGTGCGAATTAATGGAATCAGTGTGAATTTTTTTTCATTTTTTCAATATTCAAGAAAATGTTTTGGGGATATTTTTCATACATGGGGGTTGAATCTTTGGTGCCAATTGAAGGCATGATGAACAGCCAAAAATACAAATCCATGTTGGAAAAGTATTTGGACAAACAACTCCAAAAATATCAACCCCAAGGAGGAGCGATTCTTCAACAGGACTCTGCTCCCTGTCACAAATCAAAGGAAATGATGGCATTTTTCAAAAATAAGAAGATTAATGTTTTAGATTGGCCCGGTAATTCACCCGACCTCAACCCCATTGAAAATTTATGGGCCATTTGCAAAGCTAGACTGCGAAAAATCGACTGTACCACTAAAACAAAAATGATAGAAGCGGCCATTCAGGTTTGGTATCGAGATGAAAGGATATCTGACAACTGCCAGGAACTCATAGAATCTATGCCAAAACGGTTAAAAGCAGTAATTGCTGCCAAAGGGGGACATATTTCCTACTGAATGATGTAAGTTTACCTTTATAGTTTTGTCAAAATATAATTTTTTACTAAATAAACTGTTTTTTCATTAAAACAGACTATGATTCCATTAATTCGCACAATACTGTACATTATGGGATTAATGATTACTTACCTTGACGTCATCGAATCAATAACGGTAAATGGATAGTGTCAGTGAAAGTAAGCTCAAATGTAAGAGCATTTATTCTTTATTTCAAAATTAACGATATATCACAGTGAATATTTTAAACATGATAAGTCCTAATGTTCAGTTTAATATTTATTTTTAACTTTAAACATTATTTAAAATATAAAATTGTACATGATGTGGTTAACGTGAATTATTTCTAGTTCAACGCAAACATTGTGCAAAAAGTTGAAGTGTTAAAAATAAAGTGATTCTATTGTAATTTTTTTTCTAATTGTAATTTTTTCAGACAATTTAATTACTTAGGTTCAGCCCCCACGACGCAACTGTTTCAAAACTACGGTCTGAAGTGTGCCTTGTGCTCTTTGCTTCACAGTCGAGTATGAATGAATGTATGCATGTATATAAGTTTGAATAGAAACGGTTTCCAACGCTCAACTAACAAAAGCCACTAACACATGTTCATCATCATGGCTTATTCACTCCTGGCGGAGTGTTTGCCGCCCTTTTGGGCTCTCTGATTCATTTATTGCGGAGAATCAGTCCGCTGTTGTTTTTTTTATTATTATAGCAGCGTGTGTGACTTGGCCCTGTCTACAATTTTCCTCCATTCTTTCCGATCCTTACAGCGCTCCTTCCAATTGTAGATTCTCAGCTTCTTTATGTCTCCTAAGACTTGAATCTCTCCATCTTGTTTTGGGTCTCCCCTTTGGTCTCTTTGTTGTTGGTCTCCATCCAGTTATTCGCTTTAGCGTAGAGTCTGGGTTAGCTCTTTCTGTGTGCCCCAGCCACCTGAGCCTTTGCGTCTTAACGAACTTGATTATGTCTTCACCCTCGATGACTTCTTTAATTTCTTCATTGGTTAATCTTCTAAATTCGCCTACACTTATCCTCACCGGCCCCATTATTCGTCGAATTATCTTTCTCTCTAAGATTTCTAACCTCATTTCATCTTTTTGTGTTAGGCACATCGTCTCTGCACCATAGGTGATCACTGGCCTGATTGCAGTCTTGTAAATTTTTAATTTGGTTTTCTTACTAATGTGTTTTTTCTTTCAGGAATTTTTGGTAGTTCCAGTAGGTTTTATTACCCAGTAGGATGCGTTCATTTATTTCATCTGTTCTATCATTTCTGTCGTTTACCATCACTCCCAGGTATTTGAAGCGGTGTACTCTTTCAAATGTATATGCACCAAGCTTAATTTCTTTCTCTATGTTCGTATTCTCTCTTGAACACTTGAGGTATTTCGTTTTGCTTTGGTTTATTACTAGCCCTCTCTTCTTTGCTTCTTTATCTAGCTATTAATATTATGTTCTGCATGGTTTTTAAATCTCTAGTAACCAGTGCAATATCGTCTGCATACGCAATCAGTTGGGCTGAAGATTCGATAATCGTTCCCATAATTTTGGCTGCTCTTACTGCGCCCTCTATGGCAATGTTATATAATGTTGTTGACAGGGAGTCTCCCTGTCCTACACCTACCTCCATTTGTACTTCATCTGACGGGCCTTCCTTTGTTAAGATTCGTGCCTTGGATTCCTTCATCGTCATTTTCGTGAGACTTATTAATTTTTCTTGGATGCCTAATTGATTCATATCCTTAATTAGCTCCTCCCTTATTACACTGTCAAAAGCTTGCTTATAGTCAATAAACAGTATATGTAGATCTATTCCGTGCTCGTAACTTTTTTCGACTATTTGCGTTACAATGTGTATTGCATCTATTGTTGACTTACCTTCTCTGAATCCATGTTGGTATTCACCTATTTTTGTTCTAGCTTCTTTTTCTATTCTTTGTCTGATCAAATTAGTTAATATTTTGTACATTGTATTTAATAACGTGATTCACCCCACCAAAATAGAAACAAGAGTATGAAAAACTATTGTGTTCCTATTCATACATTTGTAGGGTCAATAGGAACAGATAAAAAGTGTATAAGGTGTAAAGTAACATACACATATAAAGATAAAGTTTGTTTTATTGGAAATTTATTGTTGAAGTGAAAAATACAGTTTTAAGGTCGGCTAATATAAACACAAATCACTAAGATCATTGTTAAAACTAATCATGTTTTTAAACCGAGACGAGGTATTCACGTTTATACATACAGACAACTGTCTTATAATATCATCGGTTTGAAAAATGCTTCCCCTTTAGTTTCGGAAAATTTCCAAGCCTGGAGAAGCTTCTTAAAAAAGATTCCTATGTAGCCGCCACCTTGATGATAGAGAACTTTAGTAACGTAGAGCCTAAGAGATTGCTTGGTCTTGCCATACACTTTGACCACTAAGAAGTCTCAAGGGTTAACGAAGTGTTCGTTTCTTCATCAAATGACAACACTAGCTCCTTGTCACTGTCTTGGAGACAGTTTTCTGAAGCACTAGATTCTCGTTTTAGCTTTTTAGTGCGACTGGAAATTTCTTTTGTGGGATTCAGTTCTATGTTCTGAACTTCTGATGGTCCTGCTTCAGATTCAAACTCTTCTTCTTCTAAATCTGTCACCACAACACTTTTTCCCGATTCGACATTCATTTTTGTTTTCTTTTTCTTTTGTCTCTGAGTATCAGTCTTCATCATCATCTTTGGCTCGACAATCCTCTGTGGATCTTGGCCTGCTCTAAGATTTGTCGCCATTCTGTTCGGTTTTTGGCAACATGTTGCCATCTTCTGATTTTTAATATTCGTAAGTCGGTTTCTACTCCATCTAACCACCTAATTCGCGGTCGGCCTTTGCTTCTTTTTCCTATAGGTGTTCCTGTGGTTAGCTTTTTTAGCAATGGTATTTTCTGGCATTCGTATTATGTGTCCAGCCCATCTAAGTCGCTGTGTTTTAATGAACGTTATGACATCTGGCTCATCAAAGAGCTGATACAATTCAAAATTATATCTTCTGCGCCACTGCCCTTGGTCGTTTACAGCTCCAAATATTTTGCGGAGTATTTTACGCTCAAATATTCCCAAAAGTCTTTCATCTTTCTGCGTTAGAGTCCATGTTTCTGCTCCATATGTGAGGACCGGCCTCAGCAATGTTTTCAAAAGTCAAAAGTCAAAGTCAAAAAGTCTAGGGTATTTTGAACCTTGAAATTATTTGAAGACTTAATCCGCCGCACACTGCAAACATTTCACGACTTCAATGCTATGCTCCTTACAAATACCCTTAGTACATACTGAGCACATTTTTGATTGTTGTCGTTAGAACACATGTGATATCGCCATCTTTTGTGTTTGGGTTGTTCTGCAGGTAGTTCAATAAAACGCCTTATACCTTTTTTTTGTTTTTTCACAATGTTTCTGTATACGTTAGTCCACATTTTTTAAATTCATTTGCCAATTCAACTGATGAAAACCACTTATCAGCCGTGATATTTCGATTACTGTTTACAATAGACTGTACAAGTTGTAAAACATGATAGTGTGGGAATTGATAAAAAATAATGTATTTTTCTGGTATATAGTACTGGTTCGGCTGGTTTATTTCTGTATGCATCACCTGTCACCGCAGGTATGCTTGTTCTGATTGTGTTTTCATTTCGAGTTTTTCCGCAGACTGGAGGTATTTTTGACCACTTGGTATTTATCCTTTTTAAAAAAATACTGCCCTGCTACCCCTAATTCTTTCTTCTCATCTTTTTCAACCGTATCGGATTGTTCTTGAACAATTTCATTTTCAGCTTGCTCCTTTTCTGATTCCTCTAACACTGAATCACTGTCATGATCGCTTAACTCGCTCTCATCACAGGAATAGTCACTAATATAAGCGTTTAAAGCTTATTTTTCAAGTTCTTGCTGCATAAGAGGTCTGTTGCGCCGGTTTATTATGTAAACAGTCAAACAAAAATAATGTCACTAAAGGTATACTGAGTCAAATCTGGTCCGAACTCTTGTGTTTTCAGAAAACAATTGCCCAGTGCCGTGCGCCGTGTGCAATATTGGTTAAATTATAAAACTAAATTTGGTTGGGTCAATATTGATCCATCATACCAGTTGAGGGTTAAGAAAAGGGCATTTTTTACCCAACTACAAAAATTTGTTATTCGCTTTTAACTATTTTTTTTTTAAACTGAATCATTCGAAGTCGGTAAAACTTTTAAAATGTATTAATAATACGTAATTAAAGAAGACTGAACAGGGCCCACAACTAATTTTAACCAGGAGGTTGTTTCCGC